TCCTTCTGCAGATGATCCCCGGGTTCGTGCTCGCCGCCGGCGTGTGCATGCTGCCGTTCTCACCGCGGTGGCTGGCGTCGCGCGAGCGCAACGACGAGGCGCTGCAGAGCCTGTGCAAGCTGCGCCGGCTGCCCGCGTCCGACAAGCGCATCCGCCAGGAGTTCCTCGACATCCAGGCCGAGGTGCGCTTCCACAAGGAGATGAACGCCGAGAAGCACCCGAGTCTGCAGGGCGGCGGCCTGCGCAAGGCGTTCCTGCTCGAGATGGCGTCGTATGTGGATTGTTTTCGGTCCGGGTGCTGGCGTCGTACGCATGTTGGTGCGGGCCTCATGTTCTTCCAGCAGGTAAGTCGCTCTTCGCGAGCCAGCGTGAGGTCGTTACTGACGGGGTAGTTTGTTGGTATCAACGCCTTGATTTATTACAGCCCCACGCTGTTCAAGACCATGGGCCTCGACTATGACCAGCAGCTGCTCATGTCCGGCATCCTCAACGTCACCCAGCTGGTCGGCGTGGCTAGCTCGATCTGGACCATGGACAAGCTGGGCCGTCGCACGCTGCTGCTCGGTGGTGCGCTGGGGATGACTGTCTCGCATGTTGTGATTGCAGTGCTGGTGGGCTTGTTCTCTAATAACTGGCCCGCGCATCGGCCGCAGGGATGGGTTAGCGTCGCCTTCCTTCTGGTCTATATGATTGCGTTTGGGGCGTCCTGGGGTCCGGTCGGCTGGGCCATGCCTTCTGGTATGCATCCGTCTTCAATTAATCATCTGGATAGAAGCTGACCGCAGCAGAGGTATTCCCGTCGTCTCTCCGTGCCAAGGGTGTCGCCATCTCGACCTGCTCGAACTGGCTTAACAACTTTATCATTGTAAGTACCACATATCGTTTTGCATGGTCAATTCTGACATGAATAGGGTCTGATCACACCCCCGCTCGTCGAGAATACAGGCTACGGCGCGTACGTCTTCTTCGCCGTGTTCTGTCTGCTCGCCCTGGTATGGACCTTCTTTTTCGTGCCCGAGACGCGCAACCGCACGCTGGAGCAGATGGACCACGTCTTCAAGGACAACTCCAGCGAGGCGGAGCAGGAGCGCAGACATGCCATCGAGGTTGAGCTCCTCAGCGCGGAGCAGTACGTTGCGAGTGTGTAGTGGCCACCCACTGGTGGGGTGGTCATTTGCTGTATACAATATTATAGAATACTAATGAGACTATGACATGTATGACGCGTATTCGATAAGAGTATATACAACAACGTCCACTGCATGAATCAAAGGGCATAAGACTAATCATGAATCATCAGGTCCAAACATCTCGCACTGTGCACACTTCATACAAGCTTACAAGCCGTCGGCGGACAGTACCCATGGTCACACGCAAAACTACACAGCCCCAAATACGAGTCGTCCTCCCCATCCAGTGGGAGGCCCCTCTGCCCCGTCGTCGGCGGCGTGGGGACCGGCGCCCCGTACTGCGTGCAGGTGCACGGCCCGGGGGGACAGTATCCATAGTGGCAGCAGAAGCTGCAAAGCCCGACATAGTTCCCTGGCCCGGTGCCCCCGATGCAGACTGTTTCGGACGGCGGCGGGGTAGTTGTGGTTGCCGTGGTTGTTGTGGCTGTTGAGATGGTTGAGGTCGGGGACGAGGTTGTCTGGGTCGTCTGCGAGGTAGTGGTGCTCGTTCTCGTTGTAGTCGGGTGGTGGTGGTGGAGGTGGTTGTCTCGCGCGAGGTCGTAGTCGTAGACGACGGCGGCAGCGTCAGCGACGGCGTCGCCTGGCAAGTCGACACATGCAGACCCTGCGCAAACGAAGCCAGGCCAGCTGGCTGCAGGTTGTCCGGTTGACCAGGCGGGAGTGTTCCAACTGACAACGCTCATTAGCACGAAGAAACCGACCCTGTTGTTGGATGCATACCAAACGCATTGAAATTATACAACCCGCACACACACCCATCAACGATATCCTTCGGACTCGTCCCCTCCAGCACGGTCCGCCCATCCCGCACAACCGAAAAGCTCTGCTTCCCAACGCCCATGGGCACCTGAAACGCCGCCGCGCCCGCTGGCGCCTCAAGCGTCTGCGAGTTCGCCCCGGACGTCACCTGAATCTTCGCCGGCGCCTTGAGCAGCGACACGACAAACACCGCGTCCTCCATGGCCTCCCAGCCGTCGGGCCGGCCGATGAAGTAGTTCCCGCTGCCGTTGTTCGCCGGCACCATGCAGGTATCGGTGGAGTCGCAGTTGGCGCCGCGCGGCGCCGGGCGGTACCAGTAGACGAGGGAGTCGTCCTTGATGAAGTCGGTGGGGGCGGCGGCGCCGGCCTTGTAGGCGGCGATGAAGGGCTTGGAGATTTCAAGCCAGCCTTCGTGGGGCCTGTAGCATTTAGAACGGGGAAGCGGAGGAGGGAATCAGAGGCGGGGACTTACATGTCGTTGACCCATTTGGAGGCGCCGTCGTCGGTGTGAGGCGAGTCCAGCCGCCCGATGTAGTGCGACTCGCCGTAGTCGTTCCAGGTGACGATCTCGACGAAGCGCGGGCCTAGCTTGAGGATGTCGTTCCAGCGGTTGTACCTGGGTTGTTAGATGGTGATTCGAGGGATATAGGTAGGTCAGGTCATACCAGAGGAGGTCGGAGGGGAACGCCCAGTTCTTGCTGTAGGAGACCTCTGGCCCGAAGTGGGTGAAGAACCACGGCGAGGCGGCTAAGAATATCAGCTGTGTTCATGTTGGAAGAGCTTAATACCTACGTGCAACGTATGGCTTCCCTCCCAGGGCCTTGACATAGGCGTCATCGCCCGTCTGGACGGAGACGTTGTGGCCTGCGGTCGGCGCCTTGTTGTTGCCATTATTCGGCCACGCCATCCAATTCAGCAGGCCGTCCACGGGCCCCATATCGGTGCCCATCTCCGGGTGGAAGTTTGGCGCGAAGAAGACGGGGACGCCGGCAGCCGAGCGCATGGCGGCGACGTCTAGGCCGTCGCCTGCGAACGACGAGACAAACACTTTGTTGTCGACCATGAGCTGGGCCGGCAGCTTGGCGTACTGGGCGATTTTCTGGCCGACCTGGGCTGCCTGGCTGGTCTGCCACCAGTTGAAGTCGAAGGAGATGAAGACCTTCATGTCGTTGTTGGCGGCGGACTGGTAGGCCAGCTGCAGTTGCTGGTCGGTGTATGGGTCCACGCCGATGTTGAGGGCGAAGGCGTCAATACCGGCGGCTTTTGCGTTCTTCATGTCGGCGTCATAGTCGGCGGCGCTGTTGCGGTTGCTGGTGATTCCGATCTGCGGTTGTCAGCATGGGTTGTGTGTGGTGGTGTGGATCGTACCATGAAATGAGCAAAGACTAGACGCTCGACCGCACGTCGCTGGACGGGAGCTCTATCATGGCTGGGTAGGGCTTGTATGATAGACAAGAGCATAAAACATGCCGTCAAGAAGAAGGTAGTCCGCATGGTGGTCGTCAAGAAGAAATAAGCTGCAGAGACGCTGGCGATAATGACCGTCTCTTGATGAAATCTTCACAGTCTTATACTCTACGCCATCCTCCCAACTCAACTTTTGTTCACGAATGCAACGGTGATAAACATGATGAGCGCAACTCCGGACAGCCTGGCAATGCGACAAACAAGGGTCTAAACCAGGAGTTGTCAGTTGAGACGCTGTCTGTCTGGAGTAGGATTCTGTAGCCGCCAGGGGACAAAGCACAGGCACGCCATGCAATCAGGCGCCGCAAATCGAGCCATCAGACCCTCTTAATAGCGCCAAAGTCAAAAATGGCCGATCGAAGGATTTAAGGCGCATCCCTCACGGTCAGAGGAAGCATCGGGCCGGTCCATTGGACAATGTCATCGTCCTTGATCTGGGGGGTCTGGTGAGTACTGCCGGAAACTATATGTACTCCCGGTCAATAATCTGGGGAAATAAGATCGATAGAGTTACATTTGGCATGAAACCTGTGCATTGGAGTTGGATTCCGAGGTCGATCGATGTGATCTATAGCGATACTACGGTAGTTGGTACGGATCGTAGACCTCCGCAACAAGTCTTCGTTTCATGAAGACATTTTACAGGACTTCTCCTGTACTGTATACGTTCCTATATGTCCAGTCTCGCTGTCGGACTACGCAGAAGCTTATTGATCTTGGGCATGCAGTGGCATCGTCGTTGGCATAGACTCGTTTCCCCGTACTACCTCACCCTTTGCCTCGATGTTACACGGATAGAAGGATGGTCTGCTGATTGCTGCACATGGTTCTTCTCAGCAATGATGGCGTCAAATAAACTCAACATACAAGGAATTTGTACGACCCTGGCTGTGCCCTAATTCTTCACTGGTCATGGACAAGGGTGCACAGCACCGCATGTGATGCGTGCAACCACGCGCTCCGATCAGTTGAGCATGTTGCTGTTTGACGCTTTGTGCGCGTTTAGGCTATTAAGGTTATTCTAGAACGTGGAATGATGAGTCGATGGAGGTTAGACCAGGATGCTATCTACTAGACTAGATCTAGATAGATATCTTAAAGCTTCACAAAGACCACGTCCAACTCCTCCCCCGCAACCTGTACTTGGACTTCCATGTCACCTCCATCTCCTACTTCTGCAGTCTCTCGGACATCTCCATTTACATAGACCGCCCACTTTCCCTGAATCAGGTTCCTTGCAGTCGGTCTCAGTCCAACAAGCCTCCCATCCCAAGTTCTAACGGTGAGTACGAGAGTCTTCGCTTTTTCGTCCCAAACGCCCCGGAGACAGTCGACTCCCGATCCCAGTGCAACACCATCGATCCACGGCCTTTTTGCCAGGTCCTCTTTGGTCCACGGATTCGCCCACATGATCCTTTGCCCATCAGGAACATTCAACCTCGCATATCCAATCCCCGCATTACCCGAGAACGGATCCATGTGTGTCCACTTCGCCTCAGTCGCAGGATCCTGCTCATCGTTGCGCGGATAAAACAGCCCGCCATTCTCCCAGGTGGGGTTCAGATCTCTGTCCGCTTGAGACAAGAGACCGTCCAGTTCATCTTTCTTGCCGAGTTCGGACAGCCACTGGGCGACACACCCGAACGTCGGGGTTTCGAAGGGAATTCGGGAAGGGGGCAGGGTTTTGGAAATCTCAATCGCGGTGGTGAGTGTCTCTTCCGAATCGGCAGGAAAGCTTCTGTCTGTGACCAGATGGCGGAAAGCATTCGCGACGGGGAGGGGACGCAGGCGGATTTCGTTATGGATCTTGGTTAGGAAGCCTAGGGATTGTTTGGCGAAAAGCGACTCAACCAAGTCAGGGTTCCAAGCGTGCATATATGCTCCAGCCCTGTTCTTTCCATGAGCGTCTTCTCGTTTTGTCTCTTTAATACCTCCAGTTTCCAGAAGCCCTCGCAGGTGGAGACGCAGACAAAGGTTGAGAGGGGAACGCAGGAGAGGGGGACGCAGGATAGGGGCAAAGGGAGAGGGAGGACCTACCAGGCAGTGAAACCAATCTCTCTTGGGGGCCCACCGCCAAACGGTATCGACGGTGGAATCCTCAGCTGCTGCTTTACCAAGAGAAAGTCGACAAAGAGTCCGTCGGGTTGAACCATGCCCTTTGCATCCCAGGCGGCCTTGTATTTTGCCAGGACGTCCGAGACGATATCTGTTCCATCACGGACGTCGTTATACCTCATTGCTATGATCTGTTCCCATTAGCAAGGGAATTGGCGACGAGGTATTCAGCAAGTGTAGAGCATACCGGAAACTGATTGCAAACAACGAAGACCGCGTTCGGCTCACAACAAACCCCAACCCAGTTATTCCTCTCCATCTCGGTCAGGATTGCCTTCTGGAGACTGCGATTATCATAGCTAAATCTCTCGGGCCCCAATCCCCAGAATAATGGATCCCAATCAAATACCAGCGAACCAGGCTTTTCAAACTCGTCATCGTCGAATAACATCGCGTACAGACTCGTCATGAGCAGTAGATGGCCGCTGTACATGATGTTCTCACGTACAACAGGGTCTGCCCATGGTTTCCGCAGCTCTGAGAGGCCAGGATCGGTTTTAACGCCTGAATGGCTAGTATTAAACCAGTACCCCCAGACTTCCCGACGAAGCATCTTGCGAATCAGCTGACGGATGAGAGGTTTGAAGGTGCCCCGGAGAGCGGGTAGACGGTGATAATGAGCAGCAGACGCAGCATAGGACATCACCGCTAGCTGGTAACGGTATGCATCCAGGAACTCTTGCATCGGTTCGAGAGGGCCCATGTGGTGCCAAGAGCCATCCGGCTGGGAAACCAGATTATGGATATGCCGGAGATGGCCCGCCTGCTCGCGGGAGAGTTTAGGGTACCTGGAAAGATCGAGATCTAAGACTCTCTCTGCGGTTGACGCTGAAAGAAGAGTGTTGTGGTTTGTTTCGGTGATTGCAGCCATGGTCTATTGCTTGTCTTCGCAGTTGGTAAAAAATTCTGTTCAACTAGAGCTTGGAATTTGGCATTATTATAGCATACGGATCCGAATATCATCCCACTAAACTACCCGATCTATATGTGAGCTCTGTATTCCGCTGAGTAAAATCCGCTTGCTAAGCGGACAGAAGCGGAAGCGACAGCTATAGTATAGCAAGGTAATGAACTTTCCCAAGTCTAGCATCTTGGGGTGTGCGGGGGTACTCCACGACGGAATGATGTTTCCGATGGAAGACCCAAGGTCAGGTAGAATATGTTAACAGGAAAGGAGAAGGTGAGATGGTGTGAATACTCAATGGATGAATTTTTTAATATCTGATTCTTGGTTTCCTAAATCCCCAGTGGCAGGGGCCTCACTTTGGGGATATCCCTAAACGACGGGACTAGCGGACGCGGTATTGAGGGCCTGTACTGTTCGGTTCTTCAAGCACTTGAGTTGTTGCCCCCAAAGCTCAAGCTCTGGATGGCGGACTTGGAATTCAAATGCACTTCTACAGCACCACTCTACGCACGGGAGTTTCTACATACGGTGTAGTCAAGATGTCTAAGAAAGAGATATATCAGCCTCTAGACTCCTCCTGCTACTTATTCTCGATGGAGAGAATCGAGATGGCCAACCACTACGGGCAAGAGCGTTATTTCCCTGCGAATCGTACTACATAATACGGCAGCAATTGGAGCCCTTGGATCTCTTTCCAAGAGCGTACCTTATAGACCACTAGATGTCGCAGCCTCAGGCTCCTAAGTTGCCTCTTTAGGCTTAGCTCCTGCCTGCCTGCCCTAATATTTACTATACAGGTAGAGTCAGAGGTCTTCAGGACCTCACCCACGAGCAACCGCCTTCAATCCTCCTTGACCGCTTCCCTTGATACTAGACAAAGCCAGTGGATACAAGGCTGGTCAGCAAGACTTCTCATCTCTTCGTTTCCTTAGAATTATGGTCTTCTCGGGGAGGGTAGAGACAAAGCTCCCAACAGGTGTAGGATTTTCGGGGGCGCTCCACGGAGTTGTCTCCAGGAGTTCGCCGACGATTCGCCGTTCATTCGTCCAAGGTTGAGGAAGTGGAGGCAAACAATAGTAAATGAACCCTTTTTAGTCCCTTCAGGGACAAGTTTGTGCCACGTTTTCGAACTACCCTAATCTGAGTGACTGGTGCGCGCCACGAAAGTTCGGACTTGAGCCCTAGGATTTGTCCACTCGGCAACCTTCCATGGCCAGCCGCAACCTCTTTTCTGTTTGCTTGCGACGGAGCTCCCATAACACACCCTGGCGAAGGGGAGGAGCCTTGCCTTCGAATCGAGAACCATGTTTCCTTCCTGTCAAGAACGTGTTCTCGCTCGTGCAGCGGATCCGGAGAAATCCGAGACTGGCGGCTTTGAGGCTGGCTGAGCGCCACTGGCGCAAGTTGACTACGCTGAGAAGGGCCAAAGCACTTTCTTTCCTCTTCGATAACGAAAAGGTCACCGCCGGATGTAAAATTTGCGAACTAGTGGATCTCCATAGGGTTTGGGAGTGAAACTTCCATTCGGGATGGGCAGGCATATATAGCTGCCGTCGTCCCCGGGATGGGTGACCAAACTCGGCCTCATTATTTGACTCGTTTTGACAACTTTCATTCGAGAATGGGTCCCCTCCGCAACGCCGCGACCATTGGAGCCCTGCTTCTTGCGGGCTTGACCCCAGTTCTCGCCCAAAATCAGACCTGCACCATCCCAACTCAGCAGTTACTCGGGAACCCTTCGTTCGAGAGCGGCGGCCTGAACCCCTGGGATGCAAGAAAGCTGTGCACCCTAGATGACTGTGGTGATGTCTCAAGCCCTGAGATCGTGCAGGACAACGCTCCGGATGGATCTTACGTGTTGTGAGTCTGTCCATCATACATGCTCTTCGACGGGGTTTTGCGAAACCAAGCTTCTGTCTTACTAACGCGTGTTATTACTTGTTTTGATAGTCGGAAATTCTTCGATGACAACACACTCTGGGCGGCTTCGCAGAACGTGTCCATCGACAGCCCGGGCCAGCCGCACAATGTGTCCTTCTGGTTCCGCTATGAAGCGACACCCGAGACGACGGTGACGAGCTGCGGTCTGAATGTCCGAGTCGACGGCACAAGTCCGCTGCAGAACGTTGCGAGGTTCTCCCAGGCCCCCGGGGCAGACTGGTACCTGGCCCAGGCGACCTGGACGCCTAAGAGCACCCAGCATATCTTCTACCTGGTGTATGGCTGCAACTACACCACGTTGTACCTCGATGATGTCCAGCTTTGGGCTCCAGAGAGGGAGGTCACTTGTTCGACGAGCACGAGCACGAGCACCCAGACTAGCACGACGACGTCAACTTCTTCGCCTACTTCTTCACCTACTTCTTCGCCAACGACCTCTCCACCGTCGACATCTTCCCAGACAACGACTTCCTCCACCACCTCTACAGGTCCCTCGACGAGCTCCTCTACCTCCTCGACGACTTCCTCCACAACATCGACATCTACATCATCGAGCACATCAAGCTGCACGTCCACATCCCACAGCACAACAACCTTCACAACCACCACGAGACCCACCGGGCACCCTGAGCACACGCGCACGATCTACCAGACAAAAACCGACACCGTGACCGCGTGCCCGACCTCGCTGCCCCGGTACTTTGAATGCCTTCTGGATGGTGTCCATTGACATCATTGATTGAGCTTGAATGAAGCTTTGGCGAGGAACAGGCATAAACGTACTACCTCTCCTGGCTCCAATTCCAAGTAACATACAATTGGTATATATACATCATGACTTCAACGCTATGTAGGAAAGTTAAGTTTAATGTGATTCTTTTGAGTAGTGGGTCAATCTCGTCCTTTTTCTGTCGATCTCTATATCTCGCTTGGGTTTTGTATCAGATCAACAAGATTGACTGAACTAGTGGTGCCAAAGGCCTCTTCCGAATGGAAGGTCAAATTTTAGTGGACCGTAGCCTACCATATAGAAACTGTTAATATTACACGGCTGCTGGGCGTTCTTTGATCAGAAAGCGAATGATGTGAATCAATGTATACGCGGAAGGCAAACACCAAGACTGGAGACGATAAATGAGTTACCCACCAGCGTTTCCTCGCCATCGGACCAAACATGTATTCCCGCGTAAAACTTATGGCTCCCAAGTAAACAAAATGGAATTACTATTTCAATCCCCAGCAGTCAGTCCCCCGACCTTAGTCACGTGAAAAGCTCATCGGGGCTCGGAAAATGTCTCCCTGAATCCCGTTCAACTGGGATCAACCTTCTTTGGGGTCAAATCTCCTTAGCTTTCCTTTTACCCTCTTATACGGACCTGGACTTCCCTTCATACCTTAAGGCTAAGCAATATGGAGGGTCCTTTACGCCCATTCACTGACGTATTGACGCCCGTTCTGATTTTTCTTCAGATAAATCTCGTACTGACAATTTTCACAGCCGACCAGTAGGGCCTCAGACCGGGCATTTCCGCTAGAAGATAAAGAAGTCGACTCTCTTTCTGACGAGTCACTTATTGACCTCCTCAAGTCAGCTCCAATCCTTTATGATCTCGGCCAAACGACGGTAGTGCGGCTGTCCAAGAATCTCGTCTTGAAAGGCGGCGGCGATGTGCTGCCTTGTGAGGCAAAGGTACTTCAACTAGTTGCATCAAGGTGCAACATTCGAGCTCCTCGTGTTCATAGGTCACTCCAATTCACCGACGACTCGAAATACTTTGGCACTATGGGGTATATTGTGATGGATTATATCGACGGCGAACCGCTTGATAGCTGTTGGGGAGATCTCAGTGATGAACAAAAATTAGACATCGCGAAACAGACTGCCCAGATGATCATTGAGATGCAGTCTATAAAGCTATCAGAGCCAGGTCCTATCGGCGGAGGGCCATGTCGCGGTCGTTTCTTTACGCACTACAGTGCCGGTCCTTTTAAGGATGTGTCCGAATTTGAGGGCTGGTTCAACCATAAGTTGGACATCTGTAAACTCTACAATTATGCGCCACGAGACATTCCGCCTTTCAATTTCACCCAGTTTGTTCTCAGTCATCAGGATATCAGTCCGCGAAACCTAATTCTAGACCGAGCTGGCCTTGTATGGCTCGTGGACTGGGCGGATGCGGGCTCTTATCCCCCTGCTTTTGAGACGGCAGCTCTATGCTCTCAATCACAGTTTGTCGACTTTAACGACATGGTGCTGTCGTTACTCCCGCGATACCCTTTGGAAGAGCAGCAATTAGATTCCATTGGATATGGACTCTCAATAGCTGCACTGGCTTGACACATTCTGCAGGTATTGCAGGTGGATACTGGCTGGACCCCGGAGTACCTTGCAAGATGGATCAATTCTCATACCTCCCCTCTGCAGTCGTGCCGATTTTGACTGTCCGATCAGCAAGGTTGAATTCAGAGAGCCTTTTCTCCGTATTGCAGCCAGGCTCGACAATAGCTGCTTAGCCTCGGGTCGGGTCGCAAGCATGACCGAAGTGACAGCGCCAGTGACCTTCCTATCGGAGTCTTATTTCTTGGTAGATCAATTTTTGTAGCACCTAGTTTGTCGAGACATGACTCCTTCATCATCTTTATTATTATTTTGTTTTTGTCTGACCATGAGATATACATCATTTACGGATTATATTGCACGTAAGATTTGGCTTAGCATTCGACGGTCTGTTTATTTCTCTTCGTTCGTCCTTTTAGACGACAGAGATATTGCCTGCGGATATAAGTACCTAGGTAGTGTTGATGCCTATTTTTTTTTTTTTTTTTTTTTTTTTTTTTTTTTTTTTTTAGCTCTCTATTGGATCACTAACAGACTTCCTGACTATATTTCTCTTCATACTAGGGGAATAAAAGGTATGCGCGAAATAATGCAATATACGCTCCGCCTGCATACTAGGAAGCCTGTAGCATACCTAGGTCCTAACAGCCACGCTTCCCTAATGTATTTGTTTTCTCGCTTCCTATGTATTCATTATTGGTTAGTTTCTACATAGGACAGACAGTATATATTATAACACATAGCGTCATCCATTCGGCATTCCTTGCGCCCTGGGCCCTAGGCATGGCGACCATGCAGTTTATCAGGAGGATAGCCAATGAGCCGGTGAGATCCTCGGAGATTTTTGTGCATATCATCTGTACGGGTGCATCCGGTCTGCAAGGGATTGTGCATTGTAGACACAGGATGCTTCTCCATGAAGCTAGGATTGGAGACAGCGTGCTCCGTAATTGGTAGTGGACAGTAGATAGTCGGTTAGACATACTCCACCTCGCACATGCAGCTGCATCTGGCAAAGATCTAGGACGAACTGCTCGCTTACAGGTTGTGGTTAGCTTAATAGTTAACAGGGGTAGTGCTACTAAGATACTTTCGTGGACAGTCCAGTACGCAGTCTAATAAGCGGTTTAGGACCTACATAGATAGCTCAGCACGCAGTATTGTTAACTACGACGTATAGGATAACTTCTCTGGCCGCAAATAAGTTAGCAGCTATCGAGCGACGCGAGGGAATACGGCTTGTCAAGAAAGATATCATTCAGATTTCACCGTACTAAGGTATCTACCCATCTAAGATGGAGAGAACTGAGTGGCGTCCACCATCCCTGTCAGTGGCATCCGGGCATTCCGGCTTACATCCATCCAGCCCATTCGTGTATGACGCAGCATAATATTCTAGACGTCTTGTTCTATATCGGCACCCACTTGGCTTGATGGTACCGACGGTGGAGCAACAGGACGGAAAAATGCGCGGATAAATCCCACTTCTCCTTTTCTCCATTCTCCACATCCTCGCGGTGGTCCCCGTGGGCACCCCTCCAATCCCCAGATTGTCTGGAGTCTGACAACATTACGGACTAGTTAATGACTGATCAGGCTGAATCATGGACATTGGGCATTCGTTATGCCCGGTCATAACCTGCGCATATTGTTCATAGTATTTCCGCCGCTAGAAACGCCTCGAAAACGCCTCGACGGGAGAGCAGCGAACCAAGGCGCCTTAAGCCTTTCCAAGCCGTCAGCCACGAGGCTTACCTGGGGTGAAGCCGAGCCGGCAAAGGATTCTCTGCTTCCTTCCGATATTCTCCCGATGCCCGTAGCCTGTCCAAGAGGGGAACAGGCCTCGCCTAATGCCGGACCCGGTCATATCCCCGGCGCTGGCGGGTCCTCCGGGGGGATAAAATGGGCTCGGAAGACGAATCGGATGAATCTGGGGTAAATCAGCCCAGCAGTCATGGCGTCCAGCTGGCGCGGATTGGACGATACCGGCTGCATTGGTGTGTTCTTGGTGCATTCGGCCATCGGCACGACGACGAGATGAGACATCGTGCTTGTCCCAGGGGCCGTGAGCGCCGTGCGTTTTTAATGTCGCCATGGCCCCAAGAAAGCTTACCCTTTTCTGTTCTTTTTTTGATGTGAATCCAGTGAGGGCCATTTTCATCCTGCCGGTTTCTTTCATACTTCCTTTTTCTACCCCTGAGTAGTTCTATTCTCGACTCGCAACATGGCCGGCGGTATGGCCGCCGAGGGCATCTCGGGCAAGCGTGCCCAGCTCGCCGCTGGACGAGTTGGATGGCGGGGACTGTTCAGCAGTAAAAAGACCTTTGGCATTGCCCTGTTCGCATCTTTGGGTGGATTGGTGTATGGATGTACGGATGATCTGGTTCTTGATGTTACGATTTCGACTAACGCCGTCCAGACAACCAGGGAATGTTTGCGCAGATTCTCACCATGCCTTCGTTTATCGCTGCGGTATATCTCTCTACTGACATGCTTGAAGTACACCACTGACACCTCTAGACTAATGGTTATGCGGCTCACCCCTCCACGGCCCAGGGCATGCTCACCTCGATTCTCGAGCTGGGTGCCTGGTTGGGAACTCTGATTAACGGATACCTGGCGGATGCGACTGGTCGGCGTGTTACCGTGGTCATTGCGGTGTTTGTGTTTTGCATCGGTGTTATTGTCCAGGCCTGCACGGAGAACAAAGACTATGTGTATGCTGGTCGGTTCGTCACGGGTCTCGGGGTTGGAAACCTGAGTATGATTGTGCCGCTATACAATGCAGAGCTGGTCGGTCCATACCCATAACCCAGTTGCCGAACTGAACTCGTGCTGATGATCCCAGGCTCCTCCGGAAATTCGTGGCTCCCTCGTCGCTGTTCAACAACTGGCCATCACCTTTGGTATTATGGTCAGCTTCTGGGTACGTTCATCCCATCGCTCCCCTCTCCCCCCCGTCTAGACATCGCACTAACGGTATAGATTGGCTATGGCACCAACTACATCGGAGGCACCGGCGACGGCCAGTCCATTGCCGCCTGGGAGATCCCTGTGTGCATTCAGATTCTCCCGGCGCTCATTCTGGCTGCCGGCATGCTGATGTTCATGCCCCAGTCGCCCCGTCATCTGATGAACTGTGGTCGCGAGGAAGAGTGCTTGCAGACCTTGGCTCGTCTGCGCGAAGCCTCGGTCGATGACATCCTGGTGCGCATCGAGTTCCTCGAGATTAAGGCGCTGCGCATGTTCGAGGTGGAAACGGCCAAGAAGAAGTACCCGCAGTACCAGGATGGGTCGCTGAAGAGTCGATTCATGATCGGTGTGCATGACTACATGTCCTTAATTACGGACAAGTCGCTCTTCAAGCGCACGACTGTTGCGGTATGTGCTGCCCGTTGTCTTTGGGTTTGGCTGTTCTGACCAGCACAGTGCATGATCATGGTGTTCCAGCAGTGGAACGGTATTAATGCGTAAGTCTCATACTTCCTTTGAGATATATCTCTACTGACACTGTCATTCTAGGATCAACTACTATGCGTAAGTCCTTTATCCAGGGAGCATCGCACACTTCTAACCATGATAGTCCTCAAATCTTCAAGGATCTCCAGCTGGGCGGTACCACCACCTCCTTGCTGGCCACCGGTGTGGCCGGTATCTTCGAGTTCGTGTTTACCATTCCCGCCGTCCTCTGGGTCGACAACATTGGACGGAAGAAGATCCTGATCGCCGGCGGTATCGGCATGGCTGTCTGCCACTTTATCGTTGCCGGTATTATCGGCTCTTTCCAGCATACATTTGACACCCACAAGGGCGCCGGATGGGCTGCCGTCGTCTTCATTTGGATCTTCATCATCAACTTTGCCTACGCATGGGGTAAGCCCGAACACACATCCCCATCTGATCGCATACTAATAACTCCCCAGGTCCCGTCGCATGGATCGTCGTGTCCGAAGTCTTCCCTCTGAGCATGCGCGCCAAGGGAGTCAGTATCGGCGGCAGCAGCAACTGGGTAAGTACCGTTCACCCTGTCCCCTTTGCTATAAAGAATATGATCTGACAGCTCCAGCTGAACAACTTTGCGGTTGGCCTGGCCACCTCGCCGTTCATCGCCGCATCCAACTACGGTACCTTTATCTTCTTCGGCGGCGTGACCACCATCGGTGTGCTCTACGTGTGGTTCTTCGTCCCCGAGACCAAGGGACGCACCCTCGAGGAGATGGACGAGCTGTTCGGCTCCGAGGGCATGGCGGTGGAAGATGAGGCTCGCAAGCGCCAGATCGAGCGCGAGATCGGCCTGCTGGCGCTTCTCGGCGAGGAACCCGAGGGGGGAGTGATTGAGAAGAAGGCGATTGAGCATGCCGAGGAGCATTCGTCGCACGAGGAGAAGGCTTGAGTTGCTGTCTGGGGAAGTGATGTGCTTAGAGATTGTCTGATTTACGAGTCCTGCATGTATACACCGCGGGTAATAGTGAATACAGCGTATAATCTGTTGATCGGGATGTCATACTCTGTATAGATCTCATTACTGCCGAAACTCGGCCTGCCCGGCCCGAATCGGGTAATTCCGTCTGACGGATAAAACCGTTTATTTAGCCTAATCAGCCTCTCCGCATCTGTCTGGACTCTGGGGTGTTTCGTTCTCTGGACCATAAGGTGCCACTCCGAACAGAGCCGGCTCTGTGCTGCTAATGATGCCGTGACGTAGGTGGCAGACATCGACTTGTTGGGTCCTTGCTAGTGGTGCTGTCTGCGGACTATATCCGTAGATTCAGATAGACGTGGAGTAGCGCCAGCGAAGGAACTTGGAACTGCGAAAGCAGAGACAGCACCGAATCAGGTACACGTCTATACTTTCATATTTATTAATTATTACCACTAATAGAAGGACATCATCTCCAACATTCGCTACATAATAAGCATACAGTCCCCAAACATATCGAACTCATAGCCTCCATGCTCCGCAATCTCATCATAGCTCCGCATAACCAAGTCCTTACCCGCAAACGCTGCCGTCAGGACAATATGGCTAGACCGAGGCCGATGAAGGTTCGTTAACAACACATCCACCACGTTGAACTTGAATCCCGGATAAATATAGAGATCGGTCCAGCCATCTTGGGGCTGAATAGCAGCCTTACGCCCTTTTCCAAGGGCGAGGGACTCAAGGGTTCTCATGACGGTCGTCCCGACTGCGATCACCCGGCGCCCCTCGACCCGGGCTCGATTGATTTGAGCCGCCGTCCTGTCGGCGACCTCGAAGTACTCGGACCTGACCTTGTGGTTCTCAATCTCCTCCTCGCTGATATGCCGAACCGAGAGGACCTCGGTTGCTCCGACATGCAGCGTGATATATGCAATTTCAACCCCCTTGGACTGGATCTGAGCGAGGAGCGCGTCCGAAAAATGAAGGCCCGCCGAAGGAATCTCGAGGGACCCAGCCTTCTTGGCGTATACAGAGCGGTACGCCTCTGGCATAGACTTCCAGGTAGTGGGATTTAGATGGATCGTCTCGTCTAGGCGCTGGCCGTGCTGGTCGAGAGTTGGTACGAGTAGCTCGGGAGGCGAGAATTTCGCCTTCCACAACCGGTCAGGCTGTTGCTCCAGAAGAGTACAAGTGAGCTGGTCGTTGTTCATCGCAGCCAAGGTCAGACCTGACTTGACCCACTGCTGGTCAGACCGGATGTCAACGATTGTCGTGCCGTCGGGTTCATGACCGTAAACAGTCACCTGAACCGACTCGTTTCCATGTTCGAACCACAGGGTATTGGAGAGCATGTAGCTATCATTCAGAACTAAGACATCTCCTGGACGGAAATAGTCGACGATGCTGGAAAACACCGAGTGCTCGATCTTCGCCGCGGAGCGGTCCAACACGATCATTCTTCCGCTATCGCGACTCTTGCCGCGAACCTCAGCCGGATCGTGTGGCATGATTTGGGAGTCAAGGTCGAACTCGAACTCGGCAGTCTTCATGTTGGTTGGTTGGTTTGTTTTTTCTTCAGATTATTTGACTGGAAAGAAGGCAGACGGACGTATAGTAGAGGGCAACCTACGCTTCTTTAAGTACTTTCTACTTCAAGGCTTCAATGGATCTCCTCGACTGCATCAGAACCCCAGTACAACATTCGTCATACACTTGGGTTAGTCCACGGAAAGCGGAACTGTAAGTGCAGGAGGAATCCTGCGTGTAGCTGTTCATACACAGTATGGTTCTTGTCCTTCTACCGCATCTAGCCCGTTACCAGTGACCCAACACCTATCGGCACCGACTGAGAGTTACATGCTGCTTAAGATAAGCGTCATTGACAACCGTCACGTAACAAACCCATCCTGAATTAGGGTTACATGTTGACTCGTGTTACGCGAGGTTTTGAGAAAAGCTTCGCATACCTAGACGGTTGCATGGCAGAATCCTACCAGTCGAGAAGGTTAGATGCATGTATGAAGTACTTCTATAGAGAACACGGTCATAGATCATTCGGATCTATGTGCTAGGGTGGCATGCCCGAGACTCCTAAGCCCTCGAAGAAGATAATACGACGCCAGGAAATATGCAACGGCAGCCAAAAGTACGTTCATTCTTTGCTCAGCGTAGCATTCAGCAAATGAACTCCGCGTCGCATCAAAGACAAATCAGACCAGTACAAATAGCTCTCACTGATTAGACACACCCGTTGAGGTGCAGCTTGGGAAGGCCACTCACTCATTCTATTCTACCCGTATATGCAACATGCCAATTCTTTGCTGCTCCACCAGCCGCCGGTTGTTCCACAATATTTCTTGCCCAGCGCAATGTATCATCCCCACAAGTGATCCGGATGCCTACGAGCTTTACCCTGCGTTTCGCTGGGTGTACAACAAGCTGATGGTGGCCGAGCTGCAGGGGATCAAATGTGGGCCGCACGAAACCGAGCCAGATCCTAGCCTGTACCCGATCTTCAGCAAGCCTATATACAACCTTGGAGGCCTGAGCGCCGAAGCACGACAAATCAATACTCGGGAGGACTACTGGTGCTCTCATACCCCCGGGCACATGTGGTCAGCCTTGTTATCTGGGGGACATTATAGCACCGACATCGCCGTTGTTGAAGGAAACCCGGTCTGGTTCGGCCATACACGAGGTGTAGCCGGTCCGGGGCAGACATGGGAGTACTGGGAGATCAATGTCCTCGCAGACATTCATGTACAACAGAATATCACCGCCTTTATACAGGCTCATATGGCTGAGTACACTGGGATGGTAAACATGGAAACAATCGACGGGATGATAATTGAGGTCCACCTGCGGTTCTCCCCACAGTGGCCGGATATATATGGTTCCTGGTTTCTCCCATCGCTCGTGGATCTATATTCTGGAAGAGGATGGACCGGTCCCTCCTCCGCAAAGACGCGCGCGGGCTACAGCGTTCCTCTGTTCGACGACGAGAAATACGCCCCGATCTGCTCTCTGATCAAACCCGAACATCTGCAAGAGATGGAGAGAGAATTCGATGTGAGCAGTATTACACTTGGGTACGATATAGCAATGCCGCTAAAGGGCCGGACTCGGCCAGCCGGTGGCTTCAGAATCGCCTGGATCAACGGGTTTGACTTGGAGAAGTGCAAGTTGGCACGGCGCAGGTTACAAATTTGTATCCATAACCTATTCGATATGGACGGGCGGTAGGCCTTCGAAATCGGAGGAAGGAAGAACATATATCATGTACAGTACTCCGAGTAGATCAAAGGTTCAATATCTGGATTCATTGAGATCAATGATTCTCTGCATAAGTCCTGCTTACGTAACCGATACCTTATACACCAGCAACACACCAGACCAGACAACCACCATCAACAAATAAACAAGCAACAACGACAACACCATGTCCCCACGATGACTTCTACCGAATCGCCTGTTCTCCTCTCCCGGAGACACGTCTTCGACTCGGTCTTCTCTCCCACCTCGTCGCATGTTTACCAGACGCGACCGCTGGCACTCGGTCCCGAGCAAGCCCAGTGGGAACGCGCATGGCGTCTGGCGACCAGCTTCCTCTCGTTGCCAGATACAGGCTTCATCGCGCCGCAGTTCGCCCACGCCGACGACCCGCAGTTTCTGAAGTTGTCAAACCGCCATCGCAGACCGTCGCAGGAGGTTCGCGATGCCTTCCACTATCTGACCCTGGCGTTGAGCCGCGGAGAGCCCACCCCGCGCAACCTCTTCGATTGGTATAGTTACGAGATACGACGACATTTTCTCAAGAACTTCCGAGCTGGACTATATACGGTGAGCTATCCTCAAATCGCCATACATCACGGGTATATAGCTAATGTGGTACGACAGCTCCTCGACTCCCGCGAGAGAGATGGCCTGCTGCAGCAAATCGTCCATTCGCTCCATCTTGCACGTCGGATCTACTTCGTCCCCCTCCTTGACCACCTCCTCCCCCTGCTGGAACGCCCCGAACAAGATAAGATGCTCGCGAAGCTTCGACGCGGCTTCCACATGATGGTCGCCTACACCCTTCCGTGGCCGCAAGTCTCCGCCCTTCTCACACGCGAAATCACCAAAGACGCCCTGATCATCCTCGGCATCGATACCCTGAACGAAGAAGAGGATACCTACGAGGACGCCTCCAGCGTCGACAACATGGAGGTCGACCGTCCGTATTCCGTGTCGTATCGCGACTGGCGCGACGAGCCCTCGGAAGAAGCCCGCGCGCAGTTGATGGCCGGCGACGACGATGCGCGAGTCAACGCGGCCCGCGAACGGCTACTGGGCATGCTGGACGGTCTCCAACAGGTAGGCATGGGCGGTGACAAGGCACAGAAGGTGTTTGCTGGCGTGATGAACTCGCTCATGACGGAGTTTGTTCGCGCGGCGTATACCGCACAGTGGGAAGGTCCGTCGTGCGCGACACAGCATCTCCGATACTGGGTGGAAAACGTCTTTTCACGGCTGGTCGTGCAGGTCCTAGGCGTCATCAACGGGTCGGAGATCGGTCCGCGGGACCTGGAGACTCTCGACGTGCAGCTGAGCGATGTCGAGAAATGGAAGGAGATTGGGATCTCGCGGCTGGGGGCGCTGCGGACGGGCGAGCTGTTTGATGTGATTGTCGAGTGGCCCGCTAGTAGCGGTGCGATTGAGGATCTACGGCAGTTTACGACTCATCCGGCGGCCCGCTTGCACCTGACGCAGTCATTCATTGCGGCATTGAACCAGCGACTGTTGCACCCGGGCGCATCGACGGTGGAGATTCTACAGTTGTACATTTCCATCATCCGCGCGTTCAACCTCCTAGACCCCAAGGGCGTCCTCCTCGATCGCATTGCCCGTCCCATCCGCAGGTACCTGCGCGACCGCGACGATACCGTCAAGGTGATTGTCAGTGGGCTGCTGGCCGACCCTGCTGACGTGGAGGGAACTACGACTGGTACTGGAGACACGCTGGTGGAGCTGTCCGCCGAACTGACCAAGGCACACCACAGCTCTCTGCGCAACGAGGGCGGAGAGCTGGATTGGGACGATATGAACTGGGTACCGGACCCCGTGGATGCCGCGCCGGACTACCGCAAGTCGAAGAGCTCCGACGTGATTGGCAGCCTGATCAGCTTGTTCGAGTCCAAGGAGATGTTTGTGAAGGAGATGCAGACCATGCTGGCCGAGCGACTGCTGCAGAAACGCGCTGACTTTGATCAAGAGATGTCGGTGTTGGAACTGCTGAAGCTGCGCTTTGGCGATAACGCCCTGCAGGCCTGCGAAGTCATGCTGCGCGACATCTTCGACTCGCGACGGGTCGATGCCGTGGTGCGCAACGACCAGGGCCTGGCTGGGATCCGCGCTGCGACGCTCTTCCCCGTCACCCCCGACAACAACACGACCAGCAGACAGCCAGTTCCGCCGGACCTCCCTGATCTGCACGCGAAAATCCTGTCCCACTTCTTCTGGCCCGACCTGCAGGCCCCGCAGTTCAGGGTGCCCGAGCCCATCGCGCAGCTGCAGGAGCGGTACGCGACCGGGTTCGCATCCCTCAAACAATCGCGCAAGCTCACCTGGCTCAACGGCATCGGTCAGGTCACGGTGGAGCTGGACCTGGAGGACCGTCTGTTTGTGGACGAGGTGACGACCTGGCAAGCGACGGTGATCCACGCCTTCGACAGCGACGAGGCCGACGGCGGCGTCAAGACAGTGGACCAGCTGTCCAGCGAACTGGGCATGTCGGCGGCGCTGGTGCGCAGCGCGTGTCTGTTTTGGGTCAGCAAACGCATCCTGGCCGAGGTGCAGCGGGACACGTTCCGGGTGCTGGAGGTGCTGCCCAGCGAGGACGAAGCGGCTGCAGGCTTCGGCGGTGCGGGCGTATCAGACGTGGACGATACGGGCGACGATCAGGGCGTCGGCGCGGCGTCGGCTGAATCCGCCCACGCGGCGGCGGACGCGGCGGCCGCAGCAGCGGCCAAGGAGTCGGCCGAGGCAGCCGCCATGGAGAAGATGAACCTGTACTGGCAGTTTATCGTGGGGATGTTGACGAATCAAGGCGCGATGCCGTTGCAGCGCATTGTGATGATGCTGAAGATCGCGGTGCCGGGCGGGTTTCCGTTCAGCAACGAGGAGCTGCGCGAGTTCCTGGCGGGCATGGTGAGCAAGGGCAAGCTGGAGATTGTCAGCGGGGGAAACTACAAGATTGTTTCGTGAGCTCTACGAATGATGACGGTGATGACGGTGATGGTAGCATTAGGGCGTATTACAGGGCATTCGGAATAGGAGTTCAGGTCCTAATCGAACATGGTATATTGGCTAAACAGCAAAACACGGACACATTAAACAATATCACCGACAGATGCAAGCAACCTCTACTCAGCATCCAACGGCGCAACAGGCGCCTGATCATCCACCTGAATCCCCCCTCTCTTCTTCTCATTACTGTCCCAGAACGGCAATCTCCAACCGCCCTCACTCTCCGGCGTCGCCAACCACAACCGCATCAGATGCCGGCGCGGCATCGGCGGCGGGTAATCCGTGTACGCTGTGCGGGCATGCAGCACATGCGAGTTGGCCAGGAACTGGATATCGCCCACCTCGAGGATCATATGCAGCGCCAGGCGGTTGCAGGTGGCCTCGAGGACGTCGAGGGCCTCGAGCTGGGCGGGCGACAGCGGCGGAATGATGCCGGCGTCGGAGAAGCGGGTCAGCGAGCGCACATAGTACGGATCCCACTTGGTGTAGACGCGGGCGTCGGGGCCGGCGCCGCGCTCGAGGTACATGACGCTGGTGCGGATGTACTCGTCCTGGCCGTGGCTGGTCTCGCCCTTGCGGTCGAAGTACCAGATCGGCTCGGTGAGGGTCTTGAGCACGTCCGGGCGCTCGGCGGCGAGCGTGTTGTAGACGTGGTGCGAGGAGACGATGTCGGATTCGCCGCCCTCCATGGCGCGGGTGATGCAGAGCAGGCCGACGATGTCGGAGTCATCGGCGTGGAAGAATTGGCTATGAACGAATTAGCTGGGATCTGATCCTCTGAGGTAGGGGGAGGCGACGCACCGAGCGTTGGTCCGGTAGATGCGCACCGAGTCAATCTTGGTCGAGTCCTCGCCGAGATCCTTGACGTGGCCGAGCACATGGCCGCGACTGTTCTGCGAGACGAAGTACCCCAGATACGTGCCCAGGCCCATGTAGGCGACGGCGGACTTGTGGTTGCCCCATTGCTGGACGGGGAAGCCCTTGAACAGGATGAAGCCCTTGCCGTCGAGGAGGTCGGCGCGCAGTTCGGCGAGACGGGCGGCGAGGTTGGGGAGGGGGAAGTTGTTCTACATTTGTCAGGTTGTCCTGTGCCAGTGTAGCTATCCTATGGGAGGGTTGTACCTTGGTGATCCCCGTCAGAGGGATCTTGTTCTGGAGAAAGTTGTCGGCAGCGGTGCTCAACTCCTCGATCTCGTCCGCCGAGAACCGATGCGTCCACTTCTCCGGGGCATCGCGATACTCCTCGGCCTTCCAGACGGTCGGACCGGTGATGTGCTTGGGGAACTTGTCAAAGGGACGCAGTTCGTTGTAGAGAGGGGGGTGCTGGCCGGTGGTTTTGAGGCCGTCGGGGAAGATGTCGACGGGGACGGGGGTTTGCGTGAGGGCCATGTCGAGGAGAAGATATTAGTATCGAAGTAGAACTGTCAGGGCGATGCAGTAATTGAAGCAACTGATGTCGAGCTGGTTGATCCTGTCGACAGCGGAACTGTTCCATCTTATATCCTCCCCCTCTGAACCCATTTCCGATAGACCCTGCCTAGGCATTAGCCGATGTATAGACCACCCAATCGTGGCCCGCAATGGCGTGCCAGCAGGATATCCAGGAATGCGTCTTCTTATAGGCAGACGCCGCCGATGCGATGGTGGTGGTTGGCGTGTAGATGGCGCAATCCTGCCGCGGCGATGTTGTGATATGGCGGATCCTCCGTCTTTCCTTGGACAGCCATGGAGTGTTCATATGATGGAGGGCATTATTGGTTATAGAAGCCATGGTTCTGAGATGTGGGTGCTGGGTTGCATATCAGTCTAGACGTTTAGACTGATCTTGAGGCTGGCCGCAGTCGGCGATACCATAATATCACTCTGTAGATCCTGGGGTATGAATCTCTCGGGCGAGAAGTCCTCTTCATATGCTGTCTTTTTCTTCTTCTTCTTCTTCTTCTTCTTCTTTCCCTCCTACAGTTAGTCCCTCTCTATGTCCTCTTGTAGTTTCTGTTTTTTGTATAGGCTTGGGATGGATTCGGTTACTCTATCAGGAAACCCAATGCGACACCCACCAAGCATGAAAACCCTTCTCATACCCATACCACCGTAGCAGTACATTGTAGACCTACTCACCTCCAGCCCATATCACAATGCACATCGCCCTGCTGGACGTCGACGTCCCCGTGCCAACCGTCTACCGCGCCCGCGGCCTGTACTCGTCGCAATTCCGCCATCTGCTGGAACACGCCGCGGCACGCCTCAACCGTTCCGCATCGCGGGGCATCTCCCTCTTCTGCTCCTCCTACGACGTCGTCGGCGGCGCTCTACCGCCGCTCGCCAGCCTGCGCACTGCGCCTGATCCCAGCGACCCCGATGTAAACCCGGGAAACCCTCTCGCCCGCCCGATCGACGCCATCCTGATCACCGGCGCCGCGGCCGCCGCTACGACGTCGACGCCCACGCTGGATCGCCCCGCTGCAGTCCTTCATCCAGACCGTCTACACGGACTACCCGCACGTCAAGCTGTTCGGCTCGTGCTTCGGGCACCAGATCATCGCGCAGGCACTGCTCTCGCCCGCCTTTGCGGGGCATGATCCCGCCCGCGCAGTCCGCGTCGAGGCCGCCGGCCCCGCTGGGTCGGAGATGGGGCTTGTGCCGGTCGCGCTGAGTCGGGAGTTCGTGGAGCGGTTTTCGGTGCTGCAGACGCTGCCGGCGCCGGCGTGTCTGCGGCTGCAGATGGTGCATATGGACTGGGTGGTGCCGGGGAGGCAGCGGGAGCTGCCGGCCGGATGGGTGAATGTGGGCTCGAGTGAGCGGTGTCCCGTGCAGGGGCTGTATTGTCCGCGCCGGGTGCTCACGTACCAGGGCCATTTTGAGTTCGATGTGTTTGTGACGCGCGAGACGGTGGAGGAGTTTGGGCGGCGCTGTGGGTGGGAGGAGGGGGTTGTGCGGCGGTATGTGGAGGATGTTGAGAAGGGGAGGGAGGGGTGTGAGGAGGGCCAGGAGGATAATGATGACTCGAGGGTTGCTGCTGAGGTGGTGGTGTTGTTTTTTGCTGAAGGGTGATGGTTGGGGCTGTATAGATGGTGTTGTATATATGGATTTGGGTATGGAATGAACTGTATAAACTGCGGTCTATAGAGCTAGATGTAGATGCAGATGTAGTATCAGTCTATCTGTAGTTACATAAAGCCTTGTCGGCTATAGTACTAACCATTGTTGTGGAGTAGGATCGCCGTCTATAAGAATGTATACACCCATCCACGTACACTCCATCCTTGTAACTCCTCTGTATACTCATCTGTATACCGTCATGTCCACCCAAGCAGCTGCCCACTGGGCTTCCACCCTAAGCTACGCTTCCCTCCCCCCATCCGTCGTCCACGCCGCTGTCCGCAGCTTCTACAACTGGGTCGGATGCACCATCGGAGGCAGCTCTCACCCCGCGACCTCCATCGCCTACAGGGCGCTCTCGCGCTTCTTCGGCGCCCCGACATCGGCGCTGCTGGGCACCCGCACGCAAGTCGACGCCCAGCACGCAGCCCTGCTGAACGGCATTGCCTCGCACGTCCATGACTACGACGACACGCACCTGGAAACCATCATCCACCCAACAGGGCCTGTCGCTGCCGCCCTGCTGAGCATCGCGCAGTCGCTGGACCGGCCGGTGTCAGGACCGGAACTCATCACAGCCCTTGCGGCGGGCATCGAGATCGAGTGCAAGGTGGGACTAGCTGTATGGCCTAGTCATTACGATGTGGGATGGTGAGTTGTCACCACTTCCTGGATAGTCTTTTGAAACACCAGTTCACGTGTACAGGCACATCACCAGCACGACAGGGTCTATCGGCGCCGCAGTAGCAGTCGCCCGTCTGCTCAACCTCGACGAAGAAAAGACCGCCCATGCAATCGGCATCGCCGCGACGCAGGTCACCGGGCTGCGCGAGATGTTCGGCTCACACACCAAGTCGTTCCACGCGGGCCGAGCAGCGCAGAACGGGTTACTCGCCGCGGTGCTCGCCTCCGAGGGGTACACCAGCTCGCTGCAGGCGCTGGAGGCGAAGCGCGGATGGGTCAAGGTGGTCAGCGACGATGACACGCTGGAGCAGCAGATCGCCAGCCTGACGGCCGGGGGCACATGGGAAATCGAGAAGAACGCCTTCAAGCCGTTCCCCTGCGGGATCGTGATCCACCCCGTCATCGACGGGTGTGTCTGGCTGCACGGCGAGCTGCGGCGGCGCGGGCTGCACCCCCGCGACATCAAATCCATCCATGCCACCGTGCATCCGCTGGTGCTGGAGCTCACGGGCAAGCCCGCGCCGCGAGACGGCCTGGAGGCCAAGTTCAGCGTCTACCACGGCGGCGCGGTGGGCGTGCTCTACGGGAAGGCCACGCCGGCCCAGTACGACGACGCCATCGTCACGGATGCGAGGACCGTTGAATTGCGCGACAAGATCACGGCCACTGCGTCGGAGGAAATCCGCGCGGACGAGTGCCGGCTGACGGTCGAGGTTGTCGGGGATGTCGCTGCTCCCATCCATTGGCATGTCGACCACGCCGTCGGCAGTCTTGATTCGCCTATGACGGACGCACAGTTGACGGCTAAGTTTGCCGACCAATGCGAGGGTGTTGTCGGGACTGAGCGGACGCAGGAGATAAGCAACTGGTGCTGGGCTTTGGAGAAGGCGGATGATGTCCGGCAACTTGGGCAGATCGTCTAGGGGATTCGTTTCGGCTATGCCAGCGCCACCCGGTGCTAGAATGCGGGGATCCTGGGGATCTTGGGGTAATAGACCAAGCTTTAGTGGGATCTTTCCCGGCTATGCTTGGGATGCTTGACTGGAAGCGTGTTAGTTGGGGACGGCATGGCGCCACCGTGGATTTGGACAAAGAGAAGCATATAGCCGTTGTGTATACCCGTGCGGGGAATACATATACTTGGGATGTTAACTTGACGATGTATCCTTTGTAGTTGTGATCCAGAGCATATTGACAGCAGATACAATGGGCACAAAAGACGACATCCAGCCGGTGCCAGAGGTTTCTCACCAAGAGACAGTTCACGAGGGCAAGGATGGTCCCGCCTTCACCCTTGAGGAAGAGAATCGCGTGTATCGCAAATTGGACTGGAATCTGATGCCGCTCATCTTCGTCCTATACAGTCTCTCGGTGCTCGACCGTGCCAACCTGGGCAATGCCAAAATCGCAGGAATGAAAGAGGATATCGACCTGAGCGGCCGCCGATATGACTGGCTTGCGACGGTGTTCTATATTGCCTGTGAGTATTGCAGTGCGCAATCGCATCTGACACTAACGCCTTCTAGACATCCTCTCACAATGGATGACGGTAGGATGGAAAGCATTCCCTCCGCATATCTGGGTGGCTTCTGCGGTCTTTCTCTGGGGCCTCGTGTCCACCGTCCAGGCGGCCTGCATCAGCTGGGCCGGGCTGATGGTCTGTCGCGTGCTGCTGGGCGTTATTGAGGCCATGTATGGAACAGGCGTTCCTCTGTATCTCTCGTTCTTCTATCCGCGCGAGAAGCTCGGCCTGCGGACAGGCATCTTCCTCTCGGGTGCTGCGCTGGCGAACGCATATGGAGGCGCGTTGGCATATGGGATCTCGCAGGCCAAGGCCTCAATCGGCTCCTGGCGGATCCTCTTCATCGTCGAAGGTCTCCCCAGCGTCCTTCTCGCCTTCGTGGCCTGGTTCGCCATCCCGGACTCGCCGCAGCAAGCCCGATTTCTCAACGAGCGCGAGCGAGAAATCGCCCTCGCCCTCTCCCTCCGACAGCCGGGGGACCGTGAATCCAGCGGTCTCCAAGTGAAGCAAGTCCTAGACGCTCTCCTCGACTACAAGAGTAAGCCCCAGCCCCGTCATCTGCCATATGAGATTCCCCTGACGACTGCTACAGGCTACCCACCCGCACTGATGTACTTTGGCTGCAACGTCTGCTTCGCCTCCCTCCCGCTCTTCGTGCCGACGATCATCTCGCAGATGGGCGCCTTCACCGAGATCCAATCGAACGGCCTCAGCGCGCCCCCGTACGTCCTCTGCTGGATCATGATCATCGTCTGCGCGGTCGTTTCCGACCGCGTGCACCTGCGCGGCCCGTTCGTCGTCGGCGCGGCCCTGGTCGCCGCCATCGGTTACATCCTGCTCGCCACGCAGACCGTGGTCGCCGTGCGGTACTTCGGCATGTTCCTGGCCACGCAGATCTTCGTGTCTGTTGCGCTCGTCCTGACGTGGGTCGGCAACACGCACGCCACGGACTCCAAGCGCGCGGGCGCGTTTGCCATCCTGGCTACCGGCGGCCAGTGCGGCCCTATTCTCGGCACGAACATCTTCCCCGAGACGGATGCGCCGTATTATCGGAAGGGCATGTGGATCTCGTGCGGTGCGTGTCTGATTGTGGTGGTTATGGGCGTGGCCCAGATGTTCTTCCTGTGGAGTGCGAATCGGCGGAGGGACCGGGAGTTTGGGACTGAACGCGAGGAGGGCAAGACGACTACGGCGTTTGGGAACGACCGGACGTTTAGATATACGGTTTAGCGGGTGGGTTGGGAGGTTGTTGGCAGTGAAGGGGTGGGTTGGCTGGCTTAGGGCTGAGGAATGACGACTTTGGATGTCTAAAGCAGGTGGTATTGGCGCCATGATACGAACACCGGAATTGGAACAAATAGTTATGGAGTTGTGCGCCCTGTCTACGCACTGCCATCTTGTCCAACACATAGACGAGTAGCCTTCCTGGGCAGTTAGTTCGCCTGAGCGGCTCGCCAACCAAGCCACTGATAGATTCAGGAGATAAATAGGAATGCTCAATCATGCAGATGCTGTATCTCTTGGCTGGATTCTATCTGACCTGATACGACCAGGCTGCCGTGTTCTCGATGAGTCCCGGGCGTTTCAAGATAGTACATCGCATCGCACTATCTCCATATCAAACATGATGTATCGTGGATATCTGCTGTCATCTGTACTATCACTTGCAACGTATTCAGCTGGTATGGACTTCATCACAAATCATGTCTCTCTCTAACTGATAAGGCGCCGTGGCCCAGATATGTCAGCCTACCCTGCTAAGCCAGGATGAATGGACTATACACTCCCAGAGCCAGCTCGACATTATATCCGAGCAATGCACAACACTAGTCGGGAATGTCGAGATTGCGTCCAACTACACCGGCCCGTTCACCGTCTCAGGCGTCTCCAATATCACCGGCGTCTTGTCAGCCGCCAACACCATAGGAGCTCGAAACAACATCTCCGTCATTGAGCTCCCAGATGTACTACACCTTGGAGGAATCAGCTTCTTCAGTACAGATACAACGACTATATATATTCCGAACGCAGCTAAAATCGGCACGATATCTCTCACCAGAGTCAACGCCACGAGCTTCTCTGCACCGCTGTTGCAATCAGCGGTTGATATCAATCTAGACGGCGGCTTTACCGAGTACGTCTCGCCTCCATTGAACGAGAACGATCTAACGGTTTGTAGACTCGACCTTGGTCAGCTAACCACAGTCACATCAGAGCTGAACATCTGTAGTCAACCCGGCTGTGCCCCAACCCAAGGCCCGCCTCTTCGCGTCAACCTGCCAGCCCTGCAGAGGGCCAGCGGCATGCAGATCGTGGGGTCCATAGCGAGGTACTACCCAGCGGAGCATATGTCTTGATGTATACTGCTGACCCTGCAGCCTGTCAATGCCTGAGCTCACCCAGGCGTATCGCAATCCCTCCGCCGACGACGAAAGCATCGTCCCCGGGCTATACATCGGCAACTACAGAGATGCCATATCCATCAACCTGCCCAGCCTGACCAATGTGACGGGCAAGATGGCATTATCGGGAGCCGTCAGCGGGTATGCAGGGAGCAACAATCACGATATCTTGTACTGATGTTGATAGGCTCTCCGTCCCGCTGCTGCAGAGCACAGAGGCTGCTATTGAGATTGACAGCTCCACCTCTCTGGATGTATTTTCACCTCATGCGTGCTACTACCATTGATCTTTCTGGGAATATCTCGTCTTAAGTCGCAGCAGTCTTCAGATGAAGCTCTTGCTAGTGTATTGTTGTCTACAAGAGCCCAATTTCCGGCATCGTCGTATGTCGACAGTATCACGATCGACTCCGAGGATAATATAGACTGTGGATCATACGAAGAGGCAAAAGATCGCATTCAGGACGCTCCAGGCTAAATGAGCGTCATGTTGGGGTCTTTACATGCTCCGGAGCTTCTCCTGATAACGGCGTCGGCGACGGCATGAGCCCCGGAGCGATTGCGGCTGTAGTCTTCGGTGCCATGGCGAGCGTCGCTGGGTAGGTTTGCGGTCTGCTTTGGGTCATGGTATGGAGGAAGAAGAAGAAGGGTGCTAGCGCACAGTCTAGCACGATTGACCTACAAGATCAAACGCAGCAACGACCGAGGACGCCGCCGCCTCCGTATCATCCGCCTCCTTATACCCGTGAGATGTTGGCGTATAAATATGTGATTTATATCTTGGAACCCCACGCTTTACAGAAATCCAAGGCAAGTTGTCTTCGACGGTGAATCACTTATTGTGCGCGTGTGGCACTGCTTTGATGCTGTGGAGAGCTGTGAAGGAGCTGTATCGGCCACTGTAGGTAGCCATTGGAAGGGACGTAGATATTTAGCTGGCAATGCTTCCTGTTGACCCAACCTACTGGCTACTAAGTAAGATTCTCCGCATGTTCGCAACATCATTATGAGTCTCTTCCACTGTCAATCCACCATGCCCGCGATTTTCAATGCCCGCGCAGCCTGCTTCATCGGCCGCATCGTCGGAATCTCGGCACAAAATCCAGGAACAATGTCACTGGGCGATTTTCCGAGTTGCCGGTGACCGGCGAGGTGTCCAACAGCTCGGTCGACACAGCCCCGCCTTATATGGCCATGGTGACGGCGATGGGGCCTTCCGAGCCGGGTTTGTAGATGGAATCGCGTCCATCGGAAGTGGGTGGCTAGACCGAGTTGCTGCCAGCCGCTCTATCAGAGGTCCAGTTGTGACGGTGATGATGATGTCTACGACTGCAATCAATGCGACAGCTCTCCACAGCGCGGAAGTGGTGGAGATATGGACCAGACGTGACAGCTTGGCCATCCGAAGCCTCGGGCGGTGGGGTCCCATCGGAAGGGGATCGGAAGTAGCTATACAAATCGAAGACAACATGAATGCATCAATCTATGCAAAAAATAAACAATCGCTGCTCAACGCCCAGAAGAAATGATTATAAAGACCCTCGAACCACCCCCGACAGTCTCTTGCCCAGCTCCCGCCGCGCCTCATCACACATCTTCGGCACATCCACGTTCGCAATAATCCCATTGCGGTAGTTAATCGCCTCCTCGATCTTGCGAAAGTCCCGGCCCACCCCCTCGGCCAGCCACTCGTAGCAATTCCCAATAAACCGACTGCTCTGCACGAGCCACTGGCCGCGCTCGCGCCGACACGCATCAAACGTCGCCAGCACGGCCTCCAGATCCGCATGCGTGCGCACCCGCTCGTCCGCCAGCAGGGCCGCCAGCACCGCCGTGTCCTCGATGCAGAATCCCGCGCCGGCGCCGTGGTGGGGGGCCGTGGCGTGCGCGGCGTCCCCGGAGATGGCCACACGGCCTTTGTAGAAGGTCGGGACGGGGTGTTCGGCCAGGTCGAAGATGGCCCACTGAGCTGTGATTAGTCGTCGTTCGGGGGTCAAGATGAAGAGGGGGACGCACCACGCTGAGCTCCGGGTCTGTCAGCTTCAACAGGTTGGTCACGTTGGGCCCGTAGCCGGCAAAGTCGCGGAGCACCTCGTCGCGCGTGCCCTGGCGCGTCAGCCGGGGGTAGTCCGTCCAGGGCTCCGGGGAGGTGTGGAAGGCGACGATGTTGAGGGTCTTGCCCTGGTTGACGGGGAAGGTCAACATGTGGCCGCCGGGGCCCATCTATGATTATTCAATATGCGTTGCCTGGGGAGGTCTGGCAGGGGATGCGTACGTGCATGCAGGCGTTGGAGGCGAGCTCCTCGCCGATCGCCTCGATGGCCTGATCCATCGGGACGAGTCCGCGGTAGGCGTACTTGTGGGTGTAGGAGGGGTTTGCAGCGGGATGGTCCTCGCCGACGAGCAACCGGCGAATCTGCGACTTGATGCCGTCGCAGCCGATCACGACGTCGGCGAGATCCTCCGTGCCGTCGGCGAAGCGCAGCGCGAGACGGCCATCGGGCCGCTCGACGATGGACTCGCAGCGCTTGTTGAAGCGCGCAATGTTGTTGGGGATCAAGCGGATGAGCTCGTCGAGGAAATGGGCGCGATGGACGCCCGTCTGGCCCAGGCTGTTGCGGATGGTGAAGGCGATGTCCTGGCGGCCGGCGGTGGTGTTGGTGGTGGGCGTGTAGCCGTCCAGGTAGTCGAACCAGACGTCCTGCTTGGAGGGCCACAGGTTGCGGGTGCAGACCTTCTCAAAGGCGGCGTGGATGCCCGGATGGCAGGTCTGCATGGCCTGGACGGCGTTGGGACCGAAGGAGACGCCGGCGCCGACTTCCCCAAAGGCCGCTGCCTGCTCGTAGATGGTCACTGGGACGCCGCGATGGTGGAGGGTGATGGCCAGAGTGACGCCGGCGATGCCACCGCCGACGACGGCTACATGGAAGGTTTTGGTCATGGTGATTAGGATGTACTAGAGAATGAGCGAGATGCTGAGATCCTAGGCAGATGGATGAGTCTATAGAGGAGTCTTATGTAGTCATGTCTGTGTTGATTGTGGCGGACTCGGATGTCGGGGAGTATGTCGGCAGCTCAGCCTGCCCCATCGGATGCTGCTGGGACCCGCGTCTGTCTTCCCCGTGGGGTCTTCGGAGGGGCCATGCTGTGGGTAGCCGATTGTCTGGAATAAGGTAGGTTCGAGTGGTGATCAAGCATGCTCTGTATAGATGAGGGTCTCAGTGGTAGCTGTAGCTGTTTGGGGGAGGACAAGATCTTATGACAATATGCATATGTGGCATGGCGGTTCAGCTGGCTGTTGGTCATGTATATAATCAAACGCTGAGAACATATCTCTTTCTACATAAGGATCTTGGCCTTATATACAGAATATATGATATGGATTAAACTGTAGTCTGTATAATGTCCATGAGGCTCAGTGTATACTTCTAATGGTATACTGATTGATCCATGACCGGCAGATTGTCAACTCCATAGCCGACCTCCACCCCAGCCCAACCAGATTTGCTGGCAAACCGGCAGCCTGCTAGCAGACTAAGACTAACTAGCAACCTCCGCCGGATAACTCCTCTTACTAGCGGTCTCGGATCTCCACTGGACACGGAGCTGCATGAACTGGGAGCAAACGGAGGAAGCTCCGAGCTCAGTAAGATCTCGGACTATGCTCTTGAGGTGGAGCAGATACCTGGTAGGACACCTATCTATCTCTTTTATTTCTGGTCGGTCAATATGTACTTCATAGAGTCCTTGATGAACCGGTACAGTAGACTCCGATGTACCTCCACTGGTCCGGTCTAGACAAACTAGTGAGTGGCGCTGAATTTGCCACTGACCGAGTAATTAAGGGGTAGAAAAGTCTGCTAGCTGGGCTGGTCAGTTGCGAGTGTCTATTTCTGGAGTAGATGTAGGAAGATATCGAGAATACTCTATAATATAGAGTGATTAGCGTAGTAGACAAAGTCCTCGTTGATGAAGCTGAACGAGCTGATGGAGTGTATGATACGGTCATTACGATACAGGGTACCTCTCTTTTGATACCGGAATCCGGAGGTACTACGGGGTACCTACATTAGGTACCTACCTATGTACCTAGGGCTACCTAGGTACATAGGTAGTTTTCTTCATCTAAATGAAATATTAGGCAGTAGAAGGAGAGTTACATGAGTTTTTGAGCCATCTGATATAGACATCCTACCTGTCTGAACAATTGTTTAAGAGACATCCAGACAGCTGAGCTAGCTGAGCTCCTCAGATCGGAGCAGTTCGGCTGTAAGATTACCATCTGATACACCGCATTTATCTCCTGCTATCTATTAACTATCTACTCCCATCTTCATAACTATACAATTCGACTCCTATAGACTGCATTATACTACTACTGTCTATTATACTATTATATCTTTACTAGAGACTACACTACGACTATTGACATCCTATCAACTATACCGATATAATAAGAAATTGCAGACTGATGGATGGTGACTAAACTAGCTTTCCCGTTTCGGCCACTGAGCTTCCCCTCCTTCTCTGCCACTTCTTCTTCCTCTTCATTTCTCTCTCTTCCTCTTCTCTCTCTACGACCAGCCTCGATTCTCTCTTCTTAACCGACTCTCTCTTCCGTGTCGTCCTCTGTACACACTCTCCCCTCTAGATCTCTACATCTCTAGATCCTAGATTCTAGACCCCTCCCTCGATCTACAACCCCTCCACCCCTCCCCCTTGATCCGAGGACCTCCTTCTCTCCTCTCTCTCTCTTCTCTCCCCTCCGTTGATCCAGGAGATGTCTCCTTTGTCGTATCTCTGATCTAGCTCTCGGACTCGCGCCGTCCATCCTGTTCGTGTCGTGGTGCTGTTCGTGCGTTCCGACCATCCGACCGTCCGACCGCGGACTCGACCGCAGACATGCCGCCTCGATCCTCGCTCACCAGCTCCTTCTCCGTCACCGACGCCAACAATGAAGTCGTCTGTCCCTTGAAGAATAACGACGGGTCCAATTGTCGCAAACGATGTCTGGGGGTAAGTGGTCCGGTCCATCCGTCGCTGTAGCTGGTGCGCTGCAGCTGTGGAGCTCTACTTCGGCTATCTCTATATCTCCTCTCTTTTATACTCTGATTTCGTATTTCGCCGATCGTTCTGTACCTCGTATTTCTTATGCGACCTTTGTCGAATCTCTACTGACTTCTCTGACTTCTCAGGAAAAACGCTATCGCTCCATGCAGGAGCACATCCGTCGCGCCCATCCCAACCACTACATCCCGAAGCTCCCCGCGACCGAGGAGAGCTTCATTCTCATGGTCAACACCCCACCCGATCAACGGCCCCAGCTCTCCCCGTCCAACCCCAATCCCCCGTCTCGACGACGCAATGGTATGTGACCTGCTCTTTCGTCTCTATCGCTCGTCTTCAAGCTGACCGTCAGACCGCGACATCTACGTCGCCGATGCCAGTGAGCCCGCCACCCCGCGCCCTATGGACGATACCCATCCCGCCGCCGCCACCGCCGCCGTCGCCCTGGCCCAATTACACCACAATCGCTTGGTCTCCGACTGGGAGACGGACATGGTATGGCCCCGGGACAGCTAAGGAGACCTCGACCTCACATCTCTAGGAATCCCACTCCGACAATGACATCAGCCGCGACCGCATGCGATCCTCCATCGAGCTCCCCTCTCTGCGCGACCACTTCAAGCAGGACTCCCTCCCGCCCTTCTCCCCGCGACCGCGCGAACTTCTCCCCTCCATCCTCAACCACTCGCCCCCAGGTCGCTCCTCCACCCTTCCCCCCATCCAGCAAAAGAAGTGGCCGCGCCCGCGCAAATCCTCCATCTCCGGCGCTCGCAAGCCCAAACATGAACGCTCCAAGTCCAAGGAGTACGGTCGCCGCCCCAGCTTAGGCGATCGCAAAGCCCTGTCCGCCGAACCCCAGACCGCCGCCTGGGCTCAGGGCAAGCGCTGGGAGGATCTGATCGAAGCCGCGACTTCGGCGACCGAGGCCGACGACGAACGCCATTCTGAGGTAGGTCACCTTTCACTACCCGTCGCAACCTTTAGCTCATCCCACAGGTCGGTCGGTCGCCCACCATCCCTCCGGTGTCCAGCTTCACCTCCGCCCCCATGGGGAAGAATCGCTCGTCGCTTCCCCCGGGATTCCAAGGACTGCCGCCCCCGACCTCGCACCGTCCGTTCCCGCCTCATCCCTACGCCGCGTCGCCGTTGAACAAATCCCTGACCCCACCGCCGTACGACCTCGCGCGCAGCCGGGACAACGACCTGGAGCCCTTCCCCTCGATAGAGTCGTCCCTCGACTCCGCTTCGACCGCGTCCGGAAAGACCCTCCACTATAATCACGTCGGTCCGGCCAACGACTCCAGTCCGGTGCTGAACATGTTCCCATCGTCGGCCGTGCAGCGCCAACACCATCGCTTTTCCAACCCCACCCCCGCCTCCATGCGGAGCCGCGAGATCCAGATCTATTGCGCCCACTGCAAGCGACCGTGGGCGCTCAACGAATGCTACGCCTGCACCGAGTGCATCTGCGGCGTCTGTCGCGAATGTGTCGGGATGTTCATCGGCAGCCCGCCCACCTCCTTCCGCAACGTCACCTCCAGCCCGGGCAGTGCCTTGCCCCACGGCCCGACCAGCTATCCTAGCGCCCGAGGTTGTCCCCGCTGTCGCACCGTCGGCGGCAAGTGGAAGGCTTTTCAGCTGGATTTCAAGTAGTCCCGCCTCGGCGGATAGGAAGACCCGTCCCGGACCGGTCTACGGTTGGTTATGTTTTACGCATGTTACGATTAACGGCTCTTAGGGTTTCCACGGTACTTTAAAATTTTACGCTTCATGACAGAACGTCTCCTGGCAAGAACAAGCGTCCTCAAGTGGTCCCTTGTGATCGATCAGGTTGACAGACGGACCCCGTCCGATGCCCGCTGCATGCCTATGAGAAAAGCTGGGCTTTTTCCCTCGTCACTCTTTTGGTTCTCTTGGTTGGATCTATTCCCACGCTGGGCGGTGATACACTACGGTGGCATTTTGGTACATTTATGTCATGTATGGTTGCAGTGATATTTTTGCATGCGATTCCACAGTATAAATGAAGTCTTTCTTTGCCTCGTCTTCCATTCCAACTGCACGCCTTACTCGAGCCAGATCACACTGCTCAACCCTGTTAGGGTGCCCACCGGCCCGGGCTCCCCAACCTGCAGATGCGCCACCTCTTCGCCCAGCGCTCCCGTTGCGACGTCGCGCTTCACCACTGCCAGCGTCGAGGACGCCTGGTTGGCGATCGCCACCAGGTCGCCGGCCGCATTGAGCGCAAACGTGCGCGGGACCGTCCCATACGACGAGGTCGACTCTCGCATCGCCAGCGTCCCATTCGCCGTCCGGTCCAGCGTCACCATCGAGTCGTTCGGCGCGAACCCCTGATCCGACCGCACTGACACATAGACTTCGTCGCCAGCCAGCCGGATCTCTGCCAACGACGCCCCCTCCGGCATCGTCCCGTCGGGGTAAGCCACGAGTTTCTGTCGCTGCCGGAACGACGGACAGCCTCCGGTGGTCGGGTACGACACAGCGTAGCTGGCGACATGCCCGCCGAGTTCAGTATTGATGTACAGCGTGGTCAGGCCGGTTGGAGAGCGGTCGAAGACTCCGTGGCGCGGACCGTCGCCGGCGGTGACGTTGATGGCAGGACACGCGTTGAGGTGGCCGGTCGGTTTGTCAATGGCGTAAACGCGGACCTGGTCGGCGCCCAGGTCGGGGACCAGGATGAACGATCCCGTGGGATCGAGGATCACCTCGTGCGGGTGGGGTGCGTCTTGCTGTGGCTTTGGGCCTGGCTGGGCCAGTTTATAGCGGAAGACCTGAAGGGGAGGGTCGTCCGACTGCAGGGGCAGCCGGTAGGTCGAGACAGCGGATCCGCTGCTATTGAATGGGTGAGCTTTTTCCAGCCGATGGCTGGGGAGGCGCAGAACTTACTAGTGCGCAACGGCGAGATATCTCTCGCCCTGGTCGCCCTCGTAGACCACATTGTGAACGCCGCTGCCCGGAGCGGTTGTCTTGGCCTGTTCCGACAGACTGCCGTCGTCGGCGATGGCCAGGGCCGACAGGGAGCCGTTGTTGGTGTTGCCGCCGTCCTCATCGGAGCAGAAGATGAGGTTGGAGGTGGCGTCGTAGGTCAGCCAGCTGGGATATTTACCGCAAAGAGTCCCACTGTGGGCGATAGAGAGGTTGTACCCCGTGGGGGATTCATCGAGGGACAGAGTAAACACGGTGCCACTGTAGTGGGTGGCATAGAGGACAGACGCCGTGGCGATGGAACTGAGCGGCAGCAGAAGGTATGGCCGCATTGTGCTTTCTTTTTGCAATGGATGGCTCTATTCTTCAGCGGTGCAGAGAAGGGGACGTGAAGAACAGGTGTTTATATGAATGAAGGGATGGCAATGCCCAGGCGATCGGCAGTTTCACCACACTTTACTAATGAGGGGCAGCAGGGCTTTTGCCGGAAATTATTCACGGATTCATCACGGATGATCACCGATGCTCACAGATCCATCACGGGTGATGGTGTTGCTGTTCCTGCTGCTGGGCGCAGCGTTGGCGGTTGCATTGTATACAGCCTAAATAGGCAATGCATGTATACACGCCCGTTGACATCACGCCTCCTGCAGCTCTTCATGGCGTGCCCCTGGCACAAAACGACGGGATCTCCTGCATCCCCGGTATCGTATAGAACATCCCGTCAATCTTCCCCAGACTCCATAGGGGTAGATCGGCCTGAAGAGATACACGCATCGGCAACCCCGGAGATATGTCACACAATGAGTAACCCCGTGGCATACGCAGAAACACCATTAACCTTGGTGTCTACCACTGCTGACATACATCTCCTGTGTGTCACTGTGACTGTGGACGAGGGATATAGGGCAAGGGCTGGATGGTGGGTGATGTACAGATCCCCATACCAAGCAATGATTTTCTTACAGTTTCCTTCTATACCAGAAATTATTGACTTCATCTCTAATAGGCAAGCGTCGGTTTTCACAGATCTACTTGCCGCTGTGGTGTGATTGAACCGCCGCGATAAGCGTGTCCATTGCGATGGGAACCTATCCGGGCGTGCCGGATGCAATGAACTGCATCGCGCCGCTGCAAGTGTCGCACCAGTCTGTACCTAACCCCCGTCATGGGCTCACGCCGTTGGCCGTGGATTCGCCGATGTCTCACCGGGCTGCTGCTAGAGAGAGAGAGAGAGAGAGAGCAGATCGTGCCACGTCCGCCACAGCCAACGCATCGGACAGCACCATCCCGTGTCGGTGTACTATCTCCATTACCAACCTGGGTTGTGCTGGTGTATAATCACATTGGATATTGACTCTGATTGTTGGCCAATCTGCTTCTTCTCTCCCTCTAGTCAACTGGCTAGCTTCTGGTATATTCACAGGGTGGGTGAGCTACGCTGACTTGATGCGAATTCTGTCACATCGGCCCCCGCAGCTCCTGTATACACCATACGCTTGTTGATATACATCAAATATTTATGAATGTCTCCTGATCGCCCTGAGAATCTCGCTGGAAACTTGCGCCGCCCGGCCCAGTGAGCCTGCAACCAAAGGCATCAGTGGTCTTGAGCAGCGACTCTTTAACCCTACATAGTATAAGGGCCCACCACGTTCTTTGCAGTCGCATACTGAAAATCATACGAGCTGGTAAAATAGGCCCTGGATATCCACCTTGAGAAGCTTCTACTTGCCCGCTCACTTGAGATGCCTTCTTCGGGACCGGAGCTGCGCACCTCGCGTATCCCCATGGCTCTTGCACCTTGGAAATCATTTCCGTTGAATGTCTCAAAGGAGTATCATGTGCCGTCTAGATTGTAGGTGGCTGTATGAGGTCAGCGTTGGTGTCTTGACTCGGTCATGTCAACTCACATGGGTCGGAGAAGGAAGGACCTAGAAGTGGTCCCGATATACTGTGGCATCTGTCGAATGATATCTATGGTAATTAAACTGATCGGGGTAATTGCGTTGAAAAGAAGGCACCTAATATATACGAAGTCGATTTATGCTGTGAATACACCCAGCCCCTAGCAAGGGCGCATACCCCTGTCAGCATTAACCATAGTAAAGCCACCAAGAGGAGGAATATTGCTCTACAACGCATAGGTGCACTGGACTATGCTAATCTATCCAAATCTAGTCCATCCGTTTCGTTTACAACCACTCACTCATGCTAACATCATGTATACTCGGACAATCATGCCGTCTCCGGCGACAGTTGTCGTGAAGAACGCATGAGCTCGTATACATGATTCGGTACCTGCGGCAAAGCTAGAAGGCTGCAGCCCAGTGTTGCGATTCATAATGATTTGTCAAATGAGTTGAACAAAATGCTATGGTAGAATAGAAGGAGGACGAGATGAAAATGGTGAACCCTTTAAGCGAAAGATGATACACAACGACTATACATTTTCGGCCATACAGCGTCATGCTCAAATTATTAAGCAGACTTTCTTTCAGCGTCGTATACAGGAAAAATAGGGGCTAATATTTATTTTTCAGTCATTAGCTGTAGTCTTCGAGTACCGAGAAATGGTTGATTGAGGCCAAAGTTATCAATAGAGTGGCGTAGCGCTATACGGAGTACAGTCCATGTGCCCTCCCTCCACGCTATCTTAGGACTTTAGAACCGAGGTCTTGGCTCTAATCAGCATTCAGGAACCGGAAGACAAAAGTACCTTCCATGGAACGCCACTGTGTGTGTCTTTGTGGATGCCCCCGATAAGGGGTAATCGACGCAGTACACAGTGCCTGTCTCGCCACCCCGTTGCCGCCATGCGCCGTCGAATACTAAGAATAATAATAGTCGCATAGTAATGTACAATATCCATCGCCTCCATTAGCTTTGATCAGTCTGCTGCCCCGAATTGGCCGCTGCCAAGGGGAGCGATCCCGCCGGATTGGGGACCCCCAATCCGGCGATTACGGCGCCATGGATGAACCCGTCGAAGCTGAATGGAATATTCGGTCTGACTGCTTTGATTAATAGTGATCGGCCGTCCAGCGGTCTCCCAAAAAATTTCTTATTTGTTGCATGGGAGTCGGCGGCCCCATCGCTGAATCCACCGCTGGCTGATCCACACTCCCTTAGTCAAAGCCCTCGTTTTTCTCGGCTGCTCCAGCCTCGAGTCCATACGAGTACTTCTCCTGTGGCTGACTTTCTTCCTTCTCCTTTTTCCTCATCCATTGCACAAAGTCCGCGACCATGGCGTACGACTGCTATTGTGCCATCTGCGGCGTGGGCTTCTGTGGAATGCACATCGAAACCCCGTCGCAGACGTCGCTGGAACGCCGGCAACGGTGGATCGAGAAGCGATATCGTGCGAGGGAAGCCAGCAAAAACAACAATTGCCAGGTTCCCCACGATCCCAGCGAGGACCACGACGATCCTGTCCGCAGTTACGACCCCCGCCTGGTCGGCTGGGACAATATCTCCTGGCTCTACAAGGCGTATTGTCTGGGGTCCAACCCGCAGCCGTCGGGGAAGACCAAGTATATACTGTCTCCTGCTGTTGTGCTTCCTTCTCACTCACACCGTCCAGGGCGTTTATTTCGGGGCCGGGTTATTACGCAGACATTGTACGCCAGCAAGCACCACAAGGGCAAGCTCACCGAATGGTCTGATTTCTAATTTCTTTTTTTTTCTTTGTCACAGGGCGAAGTAGCGGTCAAGACCGACGCTGGTGAGTGATCATCCTTCATCCTTCCATAGCCCTAACTAACGCCCTGTAGAATCCAACACCACCACAACCACCACCACCGCCCAGAAACGCAGTGTCTTTGCATGGTTTGGCGCCCTGACTCGTGCCCTGCAAACGCAATTAACCTTACTTTCCAAAGCTACGGCTCCGGGTCCGGCGACACCCCGGGCCCCGTCATCCCCTTCCACTGGTGCTGCTTCGAGATCCTAGCCCGGGCCCTGACCGGCTCGCCCAGCCCCGACCATGTCGACATGGAGGTGCTGTATGCGGTCATGATGGACCTGTGCAACATGACCGGCTCGGCCCTGCACCTGAGCTACGGCACCGAGGTCCACGAGTCGCAGGGCCGCTACTGGGAGTGCATTCCCGGCGCCGAGGCAAGCCGCCCGTTGACGCATCCTGCATGGGGCCATCGTTTTCTTACCAAGATGTGATTATTGTAGTACTGTGCCACGCACCCGACAGACACGCCCGCGCTCGACGCATTCATTCGCACCGACATGCTCGCCAACAAGGCGCTGCGCGAGCCGCCCGCGAAGCTGGACCTGCGCGGCCGCACCCCCGCCAGCCCCTTCGGCAAGTTGCCCCTCGAGATGGTGTACCACATCTGCTCGTTTCTGCCGGGTGAGTCGCTCAAAGCCCTGACGCAGGCGTCGTTGAGCGTGCAGATCGTCACGCAGCATAACTACTTCTGGGAGAAGGCTGTCCAGTATAATATGCCGTGGCTGTGGGAGTTTCACGCCCTCAAGCTTGAGAAGACGCTGCCGGAGGACCTCAACTACAAGCGTCTGTACCTGTGGCTGGACAAGATGACCGCCCCGCGGTACGGTATGGACGACCTGGCGCTGACGGGCGTGGCCAACCGCCGCCGCATCTGGGGCGTGTGTCAGCAGCTGGCGCCGCGCTATTTCAAGGGTTTGAAGCAGGCGCGGAAGCAGACGTGACACAGGCTGGGTTGTTTCGATGAACTTTACCGGTCTTCTAGACGGAGCTATACATGGCTGTGGAGCATGTGTCTCAAGGTCAGCACTCGCGTCTGAACTCCGTTGGTCTGCAGACGTGCAGGGCTATGTGGAGATGGACACGACAAACGCTGTGGTCTGTTTCGATCATGATAGTCAAAACTGAATGTTTGACCGGATCGATGGAGGTACAAGGATGAAAGAGTAGATCTTTCTGGAACTCATGTTGCAATCCCTATTGTAACTTGCCTGTATCTCGCCACATTGACAGTGGCTGCTGTGAGGGACATAAGGACAGTCTCACAACATACTGAATGACTTTTCCAGTGCAGCCTCTGCTGTCTACCAAGTCCTCAATCTGATGCAGCAGTATCAGCAGATATAGTGTCCCGTCAATGAAACTTGTCTACCCAAACGAACCAGCACCAGCATCTATTCTTACCCCGTAGAACATCGCCTAGACTCCCGCTGCCGAAGATAACCGGCAAAGGGGTTGATATGAGGCCAATGGCTATGTTGAATGCAGATTCCATCCCTTCCAACGTATCGGTTGGACAAGCCCCAGTGTTATAAGGTCATGTTGCATCTTGAGGAATGCATTCAAGCTTTGCGTGGTCATTGGCGCAAGAAGTCTCCGAAGCTTGATACGCCGTTGGGATCATCCATACCATTTTAGACAGGAATGTGGCCGTTCACGCGGCCGCTGCTCGGCATACACCCTCTGTATAACCACCAAGGGGTGTACTTGATGGCGTGCTCGGAACGTTGTGGCTGCATCTCAGGGCAAGTTTGTCTGTGAAGGGTTCTGGGGGGTTCGGGGGAATTCCATGTCGTACATTCCAACGCTGCCATCGTCGCCATCAGTCGTCCTGGGCCTACCGCCCTGATATATCAGAGACAAAGATATGGATGCCTCGGTACACTTCATCTGGAGAGTAACCAGACTGAACCTCATTCGAAGCGTGAAGCACATTCACGCCATGGATATATATAGGGACCTCATCCATGCCAGGGTCCAGGTCAAGCAGGGGATCATTCCAGCCCTGGCATCCGGCATTCATAATAGCCTTCGGAACCCTGCGTCATGTCACCATTATAGGGTTGTATGATTGAATCCGCTGGAATGTTGATCGTCCAGTGGACGTCACGAACGGCTCCAAGGGGTCTTGTCCAACGTATATAAAGCCGTGTTATCCGCTGTCTTCTGTGTCTCAGCTCCCACCAAGCTCTCTATCTTGTATCAAACAAACTAGCAAACCACCTCAAAGCAGCAATGAAGGCTTCCATCCTCGGCAGCATCCTCTTCGTGGCCCTGGCGACTGCCTCGCCCATGGAGGTACGTGTTCCATATCCTACGTCGCAGCTAAAGCATCTAACCCTCTACACGTATAGTCGCACCCGAGCCCCAACGGCGTAGCCATGGACATGGCCATGAAGCGCGGCATGGGCATGGACATGAAGGATATGCCGTCCGCCGATATGAACATGAAACACGGTATGAGGATGGGCAAAATGCCGTCCTCCAACGACGATGAGGGCGTGGGTATGAAGCGTGAGATGGATGTGGATATGGACAACGTGCCGGCTGACGGCGGCAACGACCCTATGGGTATGAACATGCCCATGGAGGGAAAGGGTCAACTTCCCGGCATGGAGATGGGTATGCCGACTGGGGGTGCCATGGAGGGTATGCCCAGGGGTATGCCCCGTGCTGAGAATATGCCCGGTATGGACATGGGAATGGATGAGGACATGGTTGAGGGTATGGGTATGGGTCAGAACAAGGAGGGCATGATGGAATAAGATGCTGCATGCCGAGCATCAACTGCCCAGTTGTCTGGGGGAAGGGAAGTTGTGAAGAGATGTATGTTTCGATTAATTGCACCTGCAGCTATTGGATCATTTGAACAATTCGTTTATTGATGCAGTTGTCGATTGTAGGCTTTTTTGTAGGCTCCATGGAATTTCGTACTTATCCTCCGGCAATTCGTCAACAACGCGTTTCCCGATCAATGGTTTATTCCATTCTTGACATTCTCCTCGACCAATTTCCAATACTTCTCGCGCGACCGAGCCCGCAGTGGCTTCCCAAACTTCACCATGACCAGGAATATGGCAGAACATGCCATGCCGATAAAAGCCGCAGATACAAAGCAGTTTTGGTATCCCAGGTTCTCGATCCAGGGGGTGATACTGTGTAAGGTCAGTCAGAATTCGCGTCTACCACGGACAAATCCAGCTGGAGCATGGAATGGCGAAATACTTACCCATAAGAAATTGCAAACGACATGGTGTTCCGAATCAGCATCACCGTGGTAATTGCTTGACCGCTGATTTCACGGTAACTGTCGACCATGTAGTTAACGCTCAGGGTGATACCGCAGGCATTGCAAAAGGCTAGCAGCCACATTGCGAATATCAGCCCGAACCAGTGCACTTCATGAGCGGCACCAACGCCCCAAAGGATGAGTGAGCTCGGAACGAGGATGATGCATGGCAGGAAAGGCCATAGTCGATGTTCCGCTTCCATGACGCCGTTATTGCGACGAGCGAGACGGACAGTAAGCCAGTCACTGAAACGTCCAGTAAAGATAGCCCTATCCATCATTAGATTATATGAAGGTGGGGATGGAAGGCTTATACTGTAGGTAAACTCACGCTGCAAAGACGCCGAGACAGCATGCAAGGTAGCTAAGGCCAACCATTGATGAACTGGATCATCCGTCAGCCGTACATACAGCAGTTTGTTGGATATAACACACCCAAAATTGTACGGCTCTGAGCCTAGGATGATGGATGCCGTTCCGTTCAGGACGTTAAACCAGATATTGTATGATCCGTACGAGAAGCTTATGTCGACACAATTAGTATTATCTCTTGGGGTTTCTCCGTGGACACATACCCAGCATAGACAATCACAGGCCAGTTCAAAAAGTAGAGCGACTGCAACGCACGATAGTGCAGAGTATCAGGCAGCCAAGAGTCGAAGTTGAGAAGTGACATCTTCCTCCAGAATGACTTTTTTACTCGAGGCGTCCGCGACACAGAAGAACTGGAATCAGTGCGAGTGGTCGTTGGCTCGCCCTTTTCCTTGTCTGAATCGCTTGCTTTACCCGGTGTAGCCTCCGGTGCACCACGACATACGTCCACTGAGTGTCGCGTATAGTTCGTCTCCTCCATGAAAAAGAAGACGAACACGGTCGCTGCACCAAGGAAGATACTCGGGTAGTAAAACACCCATTCCCAGCCCTGGTATTCGGCAATAAAGCCACAAATGACTGGAGCGAAATAGTTACTGCCAATGAGAGAGAATGCGTAGATTGCCATGTATGTTCCTCTCTCGTGGGTGAAATACTGCCGAAGACACAATTAGTGCTCGGGTTTATTTTCTCGTTGCTTGAACACTTACCACATCCGCAACCGAAATTTCGGGGAGGGCCTCGATAGGGGCAGCAATGAATCCCTGAAGAATACATCGTGCAAGCCACTCGCCCTTTGACGAGCAATACGGTCTATGTATCAGTTAGCACCATGGCGAAAGCAGGTCATCGAATACCCTACCCCCACATGGTTACTCCCTAAATGGAGCAATTAGAGCCATGTTCAGAGAGAGGCAGCGAGGGCCACTTACTATCGATCCCAATGCCGAAATTAGGTATGTCAGTCGCTTCCCATAATGAAGGGCAAACGGCTGCCAAAAGAGTAGACCCCATCCTGCCAGCAGAAACATGTATCCTGTGCCTTCATTCAAAGTTGCTACGGATAGTCCAGTCGCCTCCGACAGAGGAACCAGGACGGAATACACCACCGAGGCAGTGATGCCCATAAAAAAGACCCATCTAAGTGGATATGAGAATTTGCTTCCGTTCAACGTGTTAATTTGCACTCACACGCTAAGGCAGACGGTGGACAAAGCTTTCCGCGCAGGAGACCAGTTCAACGGGTCATCCGGGTCATCCGAAGGAGCAGGTACAAGCACAATGTCGGAATTGTTCCCAGAATGTCGTGTAGCAATTACATTCTGCAAGTCAACCAATGTGACGGTGCCTGGGATGGCATCGTGGCGGTTGTTCTCTGCCATTAGGGGGGTTGGCAAATTGCCTTGGCAGCACGGGCAACGCTTGTTTGGTGAGAAGAGGAGACTTGAGAAAGGAGTCTTGACCCTTGCTGCCGATATCACCTCCTTTTTATCCGAATTCAAGCCAGCCCCTAGCTCCAAATAGCATATGCGACGGGTGATCGGCCCTCCAAAGCTTCAGATAAAGCCGTGTCTCATACCCAAAAGGCCATTTGTTCTTCCAGCCTTTCTAGGCGAGATGCAGGAGAACGGAGGGGCCAGACTGGGAGAACAGTCCGGCTCAACTCCGCTGAGACACCCATTTGCACTTTGTAATGTTCTTTTTATCGCATCAAGGATGTTGGTCGTCATCGGAAAGTGGAGGACGAAAATCCTGTGGCACCATGCGGCCTATCGGATCTCTATTTGCACAGATCCCTGTAAGCCCCAGAGGCTAGAGAGAACCTAGAGCAAGATACCAGGATGTTAGTTTGCGTTGATGCTACAAAACCCCGCTTGCCAATCGTAAGGTGCAAGTTGGCATCGGCCATCTGGTGAGGGGAAAGGGCTGAGAGTGGGTTTCCTGGATAGACCGCGAAACAACCTAGGGAGAATTATTGTACCCAGAGGATCTGGACGCGTTGCGATTGACATTATGCGCCTCAAGCAAGTCAAACACCGTAGCATCGATAGTCATGACACGGTCTGGGACCTGGGAAGACATCGCTAAGGTTGTATTTGGAGTCCCTTCGATTCGCATTGATGTCCGATGGAACGGTCGCTTATCATCACAGGCGTATCAACAACGGAGGGATATTTCGATTCCGGAGAAATGGAGACTGCCCGCAGATGTGCTCTCGAATCTACCTACTGATGTGACCGGTATTCCACGCGAATTCCTGAGTGACCGCGAAATCGAACTCACAGAGTGTACCGCCTCACAACTGGCCAAGCGTATCGCGAAGCGCGAAACCACGTCTGTAGAAGTCACGGTTGCATTCTGCCACCGTGCAGCAATCGCCCAGCAGCTGGTCAATTGTCTGACGGAGATTTTCTTCGAAGACGCTGTCCATCAAGCCACGGAACTTGACCGAGTCCTGGAGGAGACCGGTAAACCGATCGGTCCGCTGCACGGAGTCCCCTTCTCGATTAAAGATCACTATAACATCAAAGGACTTCGGACGACAGCGGGATACATTTCTTATTCGAAGTTTCCACCCAAGGAGAAAGATGCACTGGTTGTTGAGATCTTGCGAAAGGCGGGGGCAGTGTTCTACGTCAAGACCAATAACCCACAGTGCATGATGGTTCTAGAGACAGTGAGCAACATCTATGGGCGTACCTTGAACCCGAAGAACACAAAGCTCGGGGCGGGAGGCTCCAGCGGCGGCGAAGGCGCACTGCTCGCCCTGCGCGGTTCTCCCGTGGGACTGGGTTCAGACATTGGTGGGTATTTCCATTCTGCTTAATACAGTAGCTGATTCGTGATACTTTGCGCAACCTCAGGCGGTTCCATTCGTGTCCCAGCCGCGTTCAATGGATTGTACGGTTTTAAACCGTCTGGGAAGAGAGTTCCAACAAGTGGATGGGAATGCACAATGATCGGAAATGATCCCATCCCAGCAGTGGCTGGACCGCTTGGACACAGTGTGGAAGATCTCGACCTGTTCTTCAAGGTCATCTCCGACGCAGAGCCATGGTTTCATGAACCACTCTTAGAATTGCCATGGAAAACTGATGCTCAGCTCGGATTCGATCCCAGTTGTCTGAAGATCGGGGTAATGGTATGGGACGAGGTAGTAATGCCGCATCCATATATCACGCGAGTGATAAATGAGGTTGCAGACAAGCTCAAAGCAGCCGGCCATGACGGTATGTCCGCTCTCTAAGGTTCTTGAAGAGGTTCGCCAATGCTGACCTATGCAAAGTGGTTGAATTCAAACCGTATGACCATGGTCGAGCATGGTCGGATATTCTCCTTCCGCTGTACTTTACGGATGGCGGGCTAGATATCAAGAACACCTTAGCTGCCAGTGGCGAGCCTATGTTCTCATCAGCGAAGCGTCTCCTCGATGATCCAATCAATAAAATGAGAGATATTCATGATATCTGGCGGGTTAGTACCATCCAATCTCAGTCCTCAGGCCACAAGGCTTATGTTTTCAGCTCCACACTGCCCGTGATGTCTATCGGACTGAATACCTGGCTCATTGGAATGCCACGGCCAGCTTGACCAGGGATAATAAGCCCATCGATGTGATCCTGTGTCCTGCCAGCTGCGTCCAAGGAACACCACACAATGTCAAGCCGTGGTGGGGTTATTGTAGTCAGTGGAATTTACTTGACTACCCTAGTGGAATTCTCCCAGCTGGTGTCGTGAGGGAGGACGATAGGTATCCAGACAGCTATCACCCGACCAACGAGCTCGATGACGAGAACTTCAAGCTGTGTATGTGCAACATAAGCGTGGTTTATAGTCGAAATATAGCTGACTGTCCGTTTCACAGATGATAATCGACTCTATGCCGGCATGCCTGTAGTGGTCCAGGTGGTGGGGAGAACGCTGCAGGACGAGAAGCTGATGAATAGCATGAAGGTTATCAACGAGGTAGTCCATGGGAAGTAGCTTCCTTAGCATCGTATAGGTACAGGAATTGCACCGCGTGGTCTGTTAACACTCCAGAGGTGTTTGGAAGAGTAGGTGCTGAGGACAATTTCCTTTTTGGGTGATCGCGCACTGCGGAAGACCTCGGCAAAAGCAGCCTCAGGCACGGGGAGCAGAATGTGACCGCCTGCCGCTCCGAGCGATGCGGGTGTCATGTCATCATCGGTCGATGTTGTCATGCGCTGATTGACGAACTCCCTATCCTTCAGGTACCATTCCTCCTTCTCCTTGTTTCCTCTCATTCCCTTCTCTCATCAACCCTCAGCCTACTATACATCCATCGCTACCGGTCCTCGCTGAATAGATGCCCCATGTAACGCGATCATTCTTGTCTTGATTCAGTCTCAGCGCTTCTCCACTACAATGCGGAGACTCGCTGCCTGGGCCGTCCTCGGCTCTATCCTTCTACCTACGACGTTAGCTCAAGGAGAAACCAAAGTTCATGAAAAGGGCCGATGCGCAATTCGCGGCCATTGTGGGAAGAAGTCGTTCTTCGGTGGTGAGCTGCCCTGTCCCGATAATGGGCGTGCCGCGGATCCGGAACCAGCGGTCAGGAAGAAGCTGGTCGATTTGTGCGGTACCAAGTGGGAAGATAGCCCTGTGTGTTGTAAGGAGGAGCAGGTACAGCATTGCCATTATGCGCTTACTCCTACGTCACGGTTCTAATTGTCTCCTAGATCGATGCGCTCGCTAAGAACCTGAAGCTCGCCGAAGGCATCATTGCCTCCTGTCCTGCCTGCAAAGAGAACTTTTTCAACACATTCTGCACCTTCACATGCTCTCCCGATCAGTCCCTCTTCGTGAATGTCACCCAGACTGACGAAGCCCGTGGCAAAACCCTAGTCACCGAAATAGACAACATCTGGTCCGAGGAGTACCAAAGCGGATTTTACGATAGCTGCAAGAACGTGAAGAATGGCGCCTCAGGCGGCAAAGCGATGGATTTCATTGGCGGGGGCGCAAAGAATTATACACAATTCATGAAATTTCTAGGAGACAAGAAGCTCCTGGGAAGTCCTTTTCAGATCAACTACAAAACCGAACCTGTCGGCCCAGACCCTCAGGGCATGATGCCTTTGCCCATCACACCGAAGGCATGCAACGATTCAGACGAAGCGTTCCGCTGTTCCTGTGTGGATTGCCCTGATGTTTGCCCGGAGCTGGCCCCTGTACAAGCAGATAAGCACTGTCATGTCGGGCTTCTGCCTTGTCTTTCGTTTTCGGTCATCTTGATATACTCGATCTTCCTCCTGTTCGTGGCTGGCCTCTCAAGCTTCTTCACCTATAGAGAACGGCGATACCGCAAGCCGGAACGGGTTCGGTTGCTACAGGACCCTGCCCCCAGTGACGATGAAGAAGACGGCGAGATCGTTCATTCAGCCGGCTACCTGGAGACACCGACAAGCATATATAAATTAAACTCCGCCCTAGAATCACTTTTCAATCGCATCGCCGGCGCGTGTGCACGGTTCCCAGCGGTTACCATTACATCCAGTGTTTTGGTAGTGGCGCTACTCAGCCTTGGTTGGCTTCGGTTCGCGGTGGAAACAGACCCAGTACGCCTCTGGGTTAGCCCAACTTCAGCGGCTGCTCTGGAGAAAGAATATTTTGACCAAAATTTCGGACCGTTCTACCGAGCCGAGCAAGCCTTCTTGGTCAACGACACTTCTGATGGGGCACATGGTCGCGTTTTGAGCTATGAGACGCTGAGCTGGTGGTTTGATGTTGAGTCTCGTGTGCGCCGGATGATCTCACTGGACCGCGGCCTGATACTAGACGACGTTTGCTTCAAGCCCACCGGAGATGCCTGCGTCGTTCAGTCTCTGACAGGCTACTTCGGTGGGTCTGTCATGAATTTGAACCCTGACACATGGCAGGATCGCCTTGTTCATTGTACGGAATCCCCTGGTGATGTGAGTTGTCTTCCAGACTTTGGACAGCCTCTCCGACCAGAAATGATCCTTGGTGGTTATGGATCGGGTAACGTGCTCGACTCGAAAGCCCTCATTGCAACCTGGGTTGTCAACAACTACGCACAAGGCACCGAAGGTGAGGCGAACGCTATCGACTGGGAGGTCAGCTTCAAGGGTATTTTTGATGTGGTGCAAGAAGAAGCGAGAGAACGAGGCTTGCGTGTCTCTTTCAACACCGAGATCAGTGTTGAGCACGAATTGAACAAGTCCAGCAACACGGATGCAAAGATTGTGGTTATCAGCTATGTCATCATGTTCATCTACGCCTCCTTAGCGCTGGGATCAGTCACTGTGACATGGAAATCGCTACTCGGAAATCCAGCCAACGCACTTGTCCAATCCAAGTTCACCCTGGGAATTGTGGGTATCGTGATCGTGCTCATGTCAGTCTCTGCCTCGGTTGGACTCTTCGCCGCGGCCGGTGTCAAGGCCACTTTGATCATTGCCGAAGTCATCCCATTCCTTGTGCTTGCCGTGGGCGTGGACAATATCTTCTTGATCGTTCATGAATTTGAGCGGATCAACGTGAGCCATCCGGATGAAGAGATCGATCAACGCATTGCCCGCGCTGCAGGTCGTATAGGCCCCAGCATCTTTCTGTCAGCGATTACCGAAACGGTCGCATTTGCCTTGGGCGCCTTTGTTGGAATGCCGGCAGTCAGAAATTTCGCCGTCTACGCAGCAGGCGCTGTCTTCATTAACGCACTATTGCAGATCACAATGTTCATATCCGTCCTTGCCTTGAACCAGAGACGCGTGGAGAGCCTGCGGGCAGATTGTTTCCCATGCGTGACGGTGCGGAAAGCACACTCTGGCATGCCTGAGGACCATATCTATGATGAGCAGGATGGTGAAAGCGCTTTACAGAAGTTCATCCGCAAAGTCTATGCCACAAACCTTCTTAGGCGCGGCGCCAAGGTCATCATCGTGCTTGTCTTCCTGGGACTTTTTACAGCTGGCCTGGCTCTGATCCCGGAGGTCCCTCTTGGTCTGGACCAACGAATTGCCTTGCCGAGTGACTCCTACCTGATAGATTATTTTGATGATTTGAACAAATATTTCGGAAGTGGTCCACCGGTGTATTTTGTGACCCGGGATGTGAACGTGACTGAGCGTCGTCATCAGCAACAGCTCTGTGGAAGATTCACCACATGCGACGAGTACTCGTTATCGTTTGTTCTGGAACAGGAGTCGAAACGTCCTAATGTGTCATACATCTCGGGATCCACGGCCAGCTGGATTGACGATTTCTTCTACTGGTTGAACCCCCAGCAGGATTGTTGTGTTGAGGATGGCAAGCCGTGTTTTGAAGACCGAAACCCACCGTGGAACATTTCTCTCTATGGTATGCCAGAAGGAGAAGAGTTTATCCAATACTTGGAGAGATGGGTTGAGGCCCCAACAGATGCTTCATGCCCTCTTGGTGGAAAGGCGGCATATAGCACGGCCCTTGTCATTGATCCCAAGCACGTCATGACCAATGCCAGCCATTTCCGCGCCACCCACACACCACTCCGGACTCAGGAAGACTTTATCAACTCGTATAAAGCGGCCCGCCGCATTGCACGGGATATTTCAGCGGAACATGGTATCGATGTGTTCCCTTACTCCAAGACCTACATCTTCTTCGATCAGTACGTGTCTATTGTTCAACTAACAGGCACCCTACTTGGATTTGCTGTGGCTATCATTTTTGCCTTGACGTCTCTCATCCTTGGGTCGATTGCAACGGGCGCTGTGGTTACTGCTACTGTTGTGATGATCGTTGTCGACATTATCGGGGCCATGGCTGTGGCTGGCGTATCCTTGAACGCGGTCTCCCTGGTCAACCTGATCATCTGTGTCGGCATTGGGGTCGAGTTCTGCGCTCATATTGCCCGAGCGTTCATGTTCCCGTCTCGTACTATTTTGGATAAGGTGCCGTCCAAGTTCCGCGGCAAAGATGCTCGCGCCTGGACCGCACTGGTCAATGTCGGAGGGAGCGTCTTTAGCGGAATTACGCTCACCAAACTTCTCGGTGTTTGCGTTTTAGCATTTACGCACAGCAAGATCTTTGAGATCTATTACTTCCGTGTCTGGCTGGCCTTGATCATCTTTGCCGCCACGCATGCGCTGATCTTTTTGCCAGTAGCCCTCAGCTACTTTGGCGGCGAAGGTATATTCAATCCTACCATCGATGATTGGAATAATGCTGACTAGCACACAGGGTACGCTGATCCAGGCTCCGACGGAGGCCTTGAAGAGAATCTCGCGTCCAGGGGCTATCGCTCTCTGCTCGTTGATGATGATTATGATTCGGACCACTACTAGACTTACATCGCATGATGGAATGACTTCTGTGCCTCGTTTGCTACAGCACCTACGGTGTGGCTGCATGTCAAGGCATGTATACGCCAGCGTTCATGAATGGATCCACGATCCGCGTCTCATTTACTGGCACGGCATGGCCAGGGAGCCGGAGTTGCTCAGGTTTAATAATTGGAGTTGGACTATGGGTTTGTATTTGTTTTTCTTCGGCGGTGTCTTCGGGATTGCTGCTACGGTTCAACACGGTAAACAATATCGACTGCAACAAGAACGGAAATTTACCGTCGATCATAACGATTTTTTCTTCTCCACCTCCATCCCGCGTTCAAATTTTGGAACGCGAGGGCTTGTAGCTCGAGACTATTGAATACTAGGCGTGTGAACCCACGGAATAAGATCTTCTAGAAGCGTTGATCGTTGGTTTGGATGCCGTTGTTATGGTGGTCCTCCTTCGGCTGGTGTTCAATTGTCTACGGAGTATAAGTCCATCACTGCGCGTGATCCAGGCAGAGTAAATGACAGATGCCTTCTAGATGTCTCGTACGTGAGTATGTATCCGTATTTTCGTGTCTTTGATATAGACTGTACTCTGTAGAGTAAGGTGTTGGCTGCTGGTTCTTGTTAGTTGCATATGGAAGCACCCGGAGTTGATATATATCTGCAACATGACATATGCTCACAGCAAGACCACCGACACCGTTCTTACAATCCAATGTTTCTCCAATTCTTCTTACAATCAGACACTTTGCCTTGATATTCTCTACAAAGTATGTTTACAGTACCTAGTACTCGTAATGGTGTTG